TAGAGCACTTCCCTTGGGGTATAATTGTAGCAACTATATACACCTTAAAACATAAGGGAACATATAAACTTATGTACAGATAAATGAATAAAGGCAATATCATTATTAATTCATTGGATAGTCATTACAGTTTTAAACCATAAAATTAACTAATCATAATGTGCTGAGGTATAAAAAATAAGAAAAAGTTATGTAGGAACTGAATATATTTACAAGTAAAATTTGAAATTTAAAAGTTTAAATTAATTTTAATTTAAAATTCTATTGGTAAGTTAAGGGTGCTATTCTTACATCAGAATTTATAACGAAAAGATTATTTAAAGGGGTGTTATGTAAATGGGTTAGGGTTAAGAACAATTCAACGTATGTACATAAGTGTTCCTTCACAATTTAAAATTACCTATTTTATAGACATTTTCATTATTCTTTAAAAGGTACTTAACATATCTTAAAAACTTTGAAGAAGCTTTTTTAAATTATCGTAAAAAATAGTAAAATGGTAAAAATAAAGAATTATTTTATTTTATTTTAATTTTATCACTTATACTTACACTTATACACATTTAACGTTTGAATATCTTGAGAAGTTAACCCCGTAGAAGATGGAATAATAAAATCAGAAAACTTTAAAACTTAACATGTGAGTAAACAACAGCGACTGAAAAAGAACCACAAAAACTTCACACCATTTCTTACTTATTATATAGTTACGGCCTATAGTGAGTGTGTTCTCTTACATTTCCCCTGTACCCTGGGACTATTAGTATAAAATAGTCCCAGCTGTACCATATACGAGCAATACCAGAAGTCCATTTTTGGCGAATCATAAGTCCTTCATGGCTTCAATGAACATTGCATTGAACAACAAATCGGAGGACTTACCTTGTTTGTATTGGATACCTAAACTTCACAAACAACGGTACATTGCCGGCTCAGCTGCATGTTCCACTAAAGAATTGTCCATTAGATTGACTAAAATTCTGTCCGCAGTGAAAGAGGGTCTTCAGAAATACTGTGAAACTGTTTACTGGCGTAGTGGTATTTACCATATGTGGATTCTTAAAAACTCTAAAGAACTTCTTGATAATTTTAAATCTCGGTCTTTTTCTGAAATTAGTTCTATCAAAACTTTTGATTTTTCAACCTTGTATACCACCATTCCCCATGTGAAATTGAAAAACCGTCTAAAAGAAATAATCCACAATGCTTTTCGTCATAAAAATGGTAGCATACGCTATAAATTTATTTCTTTGGGATACCCGATAAGGCATATTTTGTTAAAAGTGAACAAAAGGGTAAAACATGCTACACAGAGGAACAAGTGATCAGTATGCTGGAGTTTCTTATTGACAACATATTTGTTGAATTTGGAGGTAGACTTTTTCAACAAATTGTCGGCATTCCTATGGGAACGAACTGTGCGCCTCTCCTTGCCGACCTCTTCTTATTTTCATATGAATCGGAGTTCCTTCAGACACTTGTCAAAAACAAGAAGATCAAAGAAGCCAGGTTAATTAATTTCACTTTCAGATATATTGATGATGTTCTTTCCATTAACAATCCGAACTTTTCTGATTGGGTTCCATTAATATATCCACCAGAACCAGAAATTAAAGAAACAACAGACACGGCTTCCTCCGCCTCATTTTTAGACTTATACCTTGAATTTCACATACACAGTCATCTCAGTACCAGAATCTATGACAAACGAGACGATTTTAATTTTGACATTATCAATTTTCCCCACCTTAGTAGCAATATACCAACTTCACCTGCATATGGGATATACATTTCCAAACTTATTCGGTATTCAAGAAGAGCTTGCAGCTTCTACTCAGACTTTGTAAAACGTAACCAGTGTCTTAGCAGAAAGATAATGAACCAGGGGTATGTCAAAGAACGTCTCGTCCTTTTTCTAAAAAAGTTCATCGGAAGGTACTAAGAACTTGTTGATAAATATTCCGTATCAACTTCACAAATAATACACGATGGTCTTGAAGTATAGATTTTGCGTACTGACGTTGTTTATCATCTTGATAACGTGTAATAGTATTCTTTTATTTGTCTTTATTAATATTACTTTTACTGTTAAGTCTGTTTTTTGAGATATCCATTTGACGTGACTCTGTGCTTATGTATCCCGTCATACATTGAACGACAAAATTATTTTATTTATTAATATTACTTTTACTGTTAAGTCTGTTTTTTTGTGATATACATTTGACTTGACTCTGTACTTATGTATCCCGTCATACTTTGAAAAACACAATTATTTTATTTATTAATATTACTTTTACTGTTAAGGGCATACGATACAGTTACAGTGGAGGTAATGACGTTGCTAACGTAAATTGTTATTTTCGCTTATCGGGAAAAGATGCAGTTTCGACTGATTTTTATCATTCAAACGGATTTAACTTGAAAACGAGTTCATGGACCCCTCTTTTTTAAAATGACATTTAGTTTGATTACGGATGAAGATTATGTGTACCAATTTTCATAAAAAAGTCAATAGTGCAATTATTTTAAATTTGATAAATATACAGCAAAAAAAGACGTTTTTTTTCTACATTCATGAACATTTGATAAATATGAGTTATTTGTAAAATAGAATGTACAAATTTATAGAACATTTATATAAAACAGAAATTACACATAATTTAACAAAAAACAGCTTATGTTTATCTTTTAAAACAAAAAAGTTATGTATTTCTGTCGAAAGAAAAAATACGTCCCAAAGTAGCACATGATGGTATATTTTTTATTGCATATTTGATTTAATCAGGTAAAATATAGCCTATATGCAAATTTTCATCAAAATTCCATTGCGGGATCAAAACTGTATCGTATGCCCTTAACTGTGTTTTTTTGTGATATCCATTTTACGCCGGTGACTCTGTATTTATGTATCCTGTCATACTTTGAACGACAAAATTATTTTATGTCTACCTGTGCGAATTTCAAACGGGCGATTTTGCGCCAGTACTTAAAACCTTCCATCCTTTATGGGTGGGTTTTACATAGATGAATAAAATCGTATAATATAAGCAAAATGAGGATGTTAAATTTGATGTATGCCTTTTTGTGCTTATTCGTTACATTTGTTTTATAGTGATTAAGATGATAACACGTACAATGTTGACTGCTGTACCCCTATTTTTGACATTTTTACCTATGTCGTAACTACAATCCCGTTCCCTTTTCACGAATGTGACCTACCAAATTAGACTATTTACCCCTATTTGTGACATTTTTACCTTTTGTTTTTGTTTGTTTTGTTCACACATCGTTGTCAATATAATGGAATTTGATGCGACTGTCATACAAGTGAGAGGTTTAGCTAGCTTTAAAACCAGGTTCAATCCACCCATTTTCTACATAAGGAAATGTCTGTACTAAGTCAGGAATATGACAGTTGTTATCCATTCGTTTGATGTGTTTGAACTTTTGATTTTGCCATTTCATTGGGGCCATTTCATTGGGGCCTTTCCTTTTTGAATTTTCCTCGGAGTTCAGTATTTTTGTGATTTTACTTTTTACTAGTAATGGATTTCTGGTTTCACCTAATTAACATATTATAATATGTTTATTGCTAACCGTGATATTATCATAATGCAATTACTGTTTAATTAAGAAAGTTAGCACATTATTATTTAAAGAAGGAGGGCCGTATAATGGAGAAGAGGGGGGGGGGGGGGTACTTTCATGACAAATAACGGTAAAAATGCCAAATGACGTTGACGGTAATTTATGATGCATGACGATAAAATATAAAGTAACATTTTCTATTTGATGATAAAAAAGACCAATGATTTTGACGAAGACAGGGGCGGATTCAAGCGGGGGCGTGGCGGGCGTGCGCCCCCCCCCCCCCCCTAAAATTTGTAAAGCATGAGTTGTCCTCGGCTTATTAAAGAATATTTCGATAATTTTACCTCAAAAAAATGTTTGCCTCACTTCGCTCGGACAAAATTTAAGTCTGCGCCCCCTAACCTGAAATCCTGGATCCGCCCCTGGAAGCACGTTAAACATGTTAAATTCTTTCCAAACTGAATAACGATAACGGATAATTGGGGCCTTCCTAGAGGGGGGGGGGTATGACCTTTATCGGGACTCCGGGATCGGGTGTTTTTAAGCTCGGGATTTCGGGATTGATTCTTTCGGGATCCGGGAATTCTTTTTTCGAATTCGGGATGTCGGGATTTAATTTTTTTTTAATTCGGGACCTCGGGATTCCATGTTTTTAAGCCCGGGATTTCGGGATCAGGACCTCTCCTACCCCCCCCCCCCCCCCCCCCCCCCCCCCCCCTTTCCTACCCTCAAGAAGGTCAATGGTCGAAACGTTTTGGGAATTTCTATAAAAGTATTATCATTATTACGATAATTTATTTGCAGTAAGCTTAACTTTTTATTGACATATAAGGGAGCTACCATTTGATTTTTATGGGGGGGGGGGGGGGGGGGGGCGGGGGCTAGGATGAAAAATTTTGTCCTGCCTTTTTATTTTTCCCTCTATACACCTTATCGCTAATCCCGCTTGACCCGAGAATCAGTCCCGCTCGAACTTTTGACGTCATACAACAATCACTTTTCCATTGTGGCGTCAGATATTTTCTATTATGACGTCAAAATTTTACGGGAACTTGTGTGATGTCCAGTAATGGCGGACAAATAGCGATAAGGTGTATTCGGTCTTGCCTTTTTATTTTTCACTCTATTCAGTCCTGCCTTTTTTTTTTTTAGTTTATCCTGACTTTTTTTTTACATAAATTATCATCATGCCTTTTTTTTTGCAAATAATCTCATCCTGCCTTTTTTTTTACTCAATACTCCTGTCCTGCCTATTTTTTTCAAATTTAATCCTAGCCCCCCATAAAAATCAAATGGTAGCTCCCTAAGTTGACTTTAAAAACAGACACAACTTTTTAACGATTGTGATGACGTTTTAATGGCGGGAAAAGGGAGTTATCTGACTTGTATTTGTACCGGAAGTTGTAATCTCCAAGGAAAACAGTCATGGCGGGCACAGTACCTCAAAGATTAGAAGTATATGGTTTAATTAACGATGTTAACTTTCAAAGAGCCCGATATTGTGCAGAGGTTTGTATTTCACATGAGTACTTAGACTGCATCAATCAAACAAGCTATAAATGTCGGCGGAGTTAAAAATTAAGGAAAATCTATCGTCTGTTTACCTTGTTTACAATGTAGTTTATATGCGAAAAAATTATAATAAGAGTGTGAGATACGTCTAACAATGCAGGCCCGAAAATACGTTTGCTGACAATTTTTCCAGACATACGCAATGACCAGAATTGACAACCATTGTATAAATGAATTGTTTGATTTAATCACAAAATATTTTATACAATGCACCTTGCTAAGAATCCGGGTCCTGAAAGATCTGAGCAAGACTTGATTATATTCCTATCACTTTGTTGTAACCTATCATGTTTAAATTCCTGTGCTCTGTCATTCGACCTGTTCTATATTTTATTTGCTGAACACATGCTGTGATTTCCTAATTCCATGTCCTTTATTTGTAAATAAGTGTTTTGCTTATGATTCTCGATTATATTCCTATCACTTTGTTGAAACCTATCATGTTTATATTCCTGTGCTCTGTCATTCCACCTGTTCTATATTTTATTTGCTGAACACATGCTGTGATTTCCTAATTCCATATCCTTCATCTGTAAATAAGTGTTTTGCTTATGATTCTCTTTATCAATTCCTGGTTGTTTATAGTCTGGATACAAAGTTCCAGTATTTCTTCAAATCCGAGCAAGACTTGATTATTTTATGGTATTTTAATAATGACTAACAAAATAAACAATTCATATCGCCGTAGCATTGTTACGTAATAAGTTAATGTCCCGAAGGTGTGTGTGATACAGTTCCTGAATAATCCAAGATATTACAGGTCAGTTCGCCCAAAATCATCTTCGCTCCCATTCATGCTCGCACCCCACTTGTTTGCACCCTTTTTAAAGGTTTTGTGTTAACTATTAATTTAATCGTGTTTTGCTATAGAATAAATTTAATAAGGTTTTTTATTGCTTTAAAATAAGGTGCCTTTCTAAAAACATAAACCGGTTTCCTTTAACATTTTGTGTATTATATTGATGTCACGAATAATGAATAATTTTATTGATGAACAATGACCAAGTTTGTCTATCTAAGACTTGTAAAAGAAATGGGAAATTAAACTTTACAAGGGGAGTTAATTGGGGTCACTGGCTCTACTTCTTTATTCACAACTTTTATATCCCACTTTTTATAACACAACTAGGGCTAATTCAGAACTTGATATATTGTGTAGACATCTACACTGTACCTATTGTTTAGGACTTGATGTTGCCCTCTAGATGAATTTTTTTATTGTTGTATTTTTTTTGGTTGCTGTCCCATTGATGTATACACCACATCTCCTTCTTTTTATACTGAAACAAAAAGTACCAGCTTATGGTCATTTTGCATTTTGGGTTAAGGTTAATTTGACCAGCTTCTGGTCAATAGACAGGCTGTTATTTTCATTCTTTGACATTTGTAATTTATACCTCTCTTAAACTTAAGTTTTACTATTTTATTTATTTGCAGTTGGAAGCTTTTTTTCTAGACAGTTTGTTGATTTTCAATCAAGAGTGAAATCAATAAATTTGCTCTGATTTCAAACTACATTTTTTTTGTATTTCAGGACTTATGGAAGAAAGACCCAAATACATTTCCAGATCCAGTTGTCAATGGAATGTTGGAATTTGAATGGGATTTATTCATTGATGCTAAAAGAAAGGTATTTTTTATGTTTTGTGAAATAAAATGCAAATTTCTGTTGTACCAGTGTATTTTAATACATTATGCTAAAAGAAAGGTATTTTTTTATGTTTTATGAAATATAATGCAAATTTCTGTTGTACCCAGTGTATGTTAATACATTATGCACAAAGAAAGGTATATTTATGTTTTGTGAAATATGATAGACATTTCTGTTGTACCCAGTGTATGTAAACACATTATGCTAAAAGAAAGGTATTTTTTATGTTTTGTGAAATAAAATGCAAATTTCTGTTGTACCCATTGTATGTAAATACATTATGCTAAAAGACAGGCCTGGGGCCATTACATTGCAATGTAATGCATTACATTACAATTACTTTGTGATTCTTCCGTTACAATTACAGTTACAATTACATTTTTCTCACATGTAATGCATTACATTACAATTACTTTGCCTGTGTAATGCATTACATTACACATTACTTTTTCAATATAAAAACTAAAAACATTTAAAAAACAGATTTTTATAAGAAATTGATAAATATTACCTGGGTATATGTACATATATATACAGTGTTAGTGACATAGACTTCAAATACATGAAAAAAAAAATTATCATATAATTTTGTTTCTAACATTGATCACTTAATCATTAAGACATCATAAAGGGATTTCAAAGGGATATAATAAATGTGCCATTAAAGGATTATCTTGTAAAATGCTTAAGGGCTCTGTGAGGACAAACATAAGTTGAAAAGATTTGATTGCAATAAAAACATTTTGATATTAATTAGGTGAAATAACAATCACAGTTTGGTGTAAAAATGTTGATTGACATATTCAATCTTTCATTGAAAGGCATGTAAGGTGTGTATAGGATTATGAAAATTTCATCTTCATATTTTTTCCATTCATCTATATAGTTTTGTTTAATAATTATTTTTTAGAAGATTTTTTAAGGGCGAACTATCTATAATGATTTAATACAGTAATTAACTGTGACAATAATTTTATTCAATACTTTCTTTTTTTTTTGTTAATATTTTCTTTTTATTTTACTATATTCTTCAATTTTATGTATTTTACCAATTTGTAATGAAAAGTAATGTACAGTAATGAAGGCATTACATTGATTTTTAACTAAAGTAATCATTACATTACATGTAATTGTAATGCAGAAAATGTGCATTACAAATTACTTTGCATTACATCAAAAAAAATGTAATATTACAATGCATTACAATTACAAATTACCATTACCCCAGGCCTGCTAAAAGAAAGGTATTTTTTATGCTTTGTGAAATATAATACAAATTTCTGTTGTATCCAGTGTACATGTATGTTAATACATTTTATACTTTGTGTTTTAATTTATGACACAAATCTAAAAACTTACTTATATATGAGGGTGTGGATGGGGGTTTACAGAATAGAGAATAATGGGCAAAAAATATAAAGAATAGAGAAATAATTTATTATATGGACCAAAAAAATAAAAAATAGAGAATAATGAGTTGCTAAAATATAAAGAATAGAGGAAAATATCCTGAAAAATTAAAGAATACAGAAATATGAACAACTCAAGCTGGAAATTCAAAGGTTGTGTCAAAAATTTAAGTGTGGAGGAGCACCTGTGACCACCCTTAAACAGTGTGTAGCCTGATTATCTTATATTTTGAAAATAACTTGTTTCAATTGGCTAGTGAAAGTTATCTACCAATGATTTTTTCTCTTAATAATTTCTGATTCTATATTTGTTTGTTTTATAGGAACTAAGAGGTGAGACCTGGTCATTTGAAGAGAAAGCCATTTGTTTTACCAATGGCCAGCTGATAGGTGGACCAGACAACTTTGTAGTATGGGCTGAAGATAATTATGGTTTTGAAGAGTTTAGACCATTACCATTATATTTAACTTTAACAGATGAAGCTTATATATCACATTTAAATTCCAAAAATGTAAGTCTATATAGTCAACTAATGTCCTTGGCCATTCCATAGAAACATCAAAAACAAGGAACTATTTGAATCTGGATAATTTTCAATTCTGGAAACTTGATATGATGAAAACTAACCAAACTATAGACAGTTAGCCATGTGTGCATGGCAAAGGTTAATTTTACTTTCACTGATATTTCAGTATGAACTAACCCTCCTAAATTGAGTTAGTTTTCATCATACATTTCTTATCAATTTTCCAGAATTCAAAATAAATCCAGATTCAAATAATTCCTCGTTTCAATTTAATTTTTTAACCATAATTTTGTGCAGAATACTGCTCTTGCAACTATGAAATTGAAATGTTTATGCACAAAATAGGACAATACTGAATAAAGTTGTATTATCTAATATGAAACCACTTTAATATATTTATGTACAGCAATGGTGTATGGAGATATTTCAGAAGCATCAACTATCAAACCGCTTGTAGCAACATGATCTGAGTAAATTTAAGTTTTTAAATTACTTTATAAACTTCATGCTTGATTATGTTTGTATATTGAAGCAGATAGATGACTTTTTAAATAATTTTTTTTCTGTTGTTTGTTAATATGAATAAATAAAAATAATTGTACAATCAATTTTTATTTTCAGCATCAGTATGTATTCATGGAAGTATCTATTGGTGGTGAATCAGCAGGTCGTCTAGTGATAGAGGTATTCATTTATTTATGAATATACTACATTTCCTTTGATGTAATTTTTACTGTTTTTATATGACCACAAACAAATTTTGGGGTTGTATATTGCTATCCCGTTGTCGTCCCAAGACATTTGGTTTCCGGACAATAACTTTAGCGCTCAGGGAAGTAGTTTTTTACACTATTTTTTTGTTGTTTTTCATGGTTCAAAGCTAAGCCTACCATGAAATAAAAGCTCGGTTCAATGATAAATTACAACCTGAGTTCAATATTTAAGGCTAAAATTTGTAAGTTCTTAGTAGTTTTAGAACACATGAACATTAATACATTTTTAAACATATAAGGATAAAAGAAGTGACATTTCTGTAACACTTTTATGCATACAAATTTTGTATGAAATGATCTTCAAATGTTGACTAGAGTTATCTCCCATTTGTCAAGCAGTTAACTGTATAATTGATAATTTGTTAGTTTTATAAGAATTTGTTTTATGTATATTTCAGCTTTTTTCAGACGTGGTACCCAAAACATGTGAAAACTTCAAAGCTTTATGTACTGGAAATATGGGGAAATCTAAAGAAACAGATTATGATCTTCATTATAAAAACTCAATGTTTCACAGAATAGTTAGAAATGGATGGATACAAGGGGGAGGTAATTCTAATTCTAATTTCCTTCACACATTTTTTTCAATCTCATTAATTAGACCTCACATTTTTACCAGTTATCAGTGATTCACAATAATAAATGCACACATTAATTCCTTAATTTATAGTATTCAACATGATTGGAAGTGTGTGATTACTATTCATTATCTGATGCTCTCATTAAGATACGCAAGAAAGTTTTCTGAGTACATGTAGTTGACTTTTACTCTTACGTTTGATTTATTTTACAAATGTAAGATATTGAATATTCATAAAATTTAATGTACAGTGCTAAATAAGGACTAACAAAGATTGTTTTTTTTGAAGCAGAAATTTGAAGATTTCCTGAAATAGCAAGAGATGCTCCTAACTCTTTGTAAAATTCCTATGTGATACACAGTTCCATTGCCTTCCTAAATGACCAACCGAACTCCTGAATAATTTGAATCTTATTTCATTTTGCAGTATTCATTTACCTTCTTAAACTCTTGTTTGAAACCTGTTAGACTATGAATCATCACCAGGAGGCTCTGTAAACTATGTGTGGTTTTTTTTTTTTTTTTTTTTTTTTTTGCATTACTTACTTTTTATTTGCCTAGATTGATCATCCATTTTATGAGGGGCCTGATCTGGGGGTCTCATCACGATTCATGAGTTGATTTTTTTGTCAATCACGATTCACAGAAAATATAAATTTCCATGATCACGGATCACGAAAATATAAAAAAAAATAAATCTGTAGAAAAACGGATCACGATAGCGAAAATGCACCGATCACGAAGAACGAAAATAACCCATCAGGCCCCTCTTTTATATTAGAATCAATTTGATCAAAATACAGATCCTGTGTCAAAGTTTTGCTTGCAAGGATCTGACAACAGTCCCCTTTACTTTCTGTTCTGGAAATAATTACATCAGCCAATGAAATTTCAGTCTCCATATTTTTGAAGGCGTGTATCATTCCAACAAAACCAGAGGATCCCGAAAGGATTTTAAAACAGAAAGTAGAATGGAGGCTTTTTAGGTCCTTGTAAGCAACACTTGGAGATAGGATCTGTGTTTTAATCAGCTTGTATTATAATGAAAATGTTTAGGTACATTATACATTTGTAGATATATTTTTCACTGGTAGTGGTCAGGGTAAGTCCTCCATTATTGAGTATATTTGGAATGACATTTTTGTGCATGCTAACTGTTTGAAAAAAAAAAAAAACTTTTGCATTCATTTATATTTGTATTGTTTTTGAGAAGCTTTACTCACAAATCTTAAAAGTATTACAGAAAATAATTATTTGATATGTGTTTGAATTGTAATTAATTGTTTAATTATAATTATAATTATAATTGTTTACTTTTACAAATTGTGACTTGGATGGAGAGTTGTCTCATTGGCACTCATACCACATCTTCTTATATCTATGAGTATTTTAGAGTGGATAGCTTGTATTCCATTCATACTGAGGTATGCATCATGGGTTGAAAAATAAGCATAGAACAAAATTACTGTGGATTCATTAATGATTATCATTAGAGGAATACCCTGGGTATTGGCAAACCATGAATTTAAATGTTCAACGAAGTACAAATTTACTATAGGTTTGTATGCAAAATTTGTCAAAACCAGGAATTTACTATTTACTTCAATCCACTAAAATTGGTATTCAGGAAAATAAATGAATTCACAGTACTATGAAGAAATTTCAACAATATAATGAGAAATTAAAAAACAAAGGAAATTAAAACTTCCATACCAGAGCATGAAGACAGTGTTTCTTTATTAAATTGGAGTTATTCAATGCATGTTTCCTAAATTTGAATGATTTTTGTTTTTGTTTTACTCAAAAACATGTCTCAGTATCACAGGGTGAAAGTTCAGCAAGTTTTTATCTTTGGCTAAGAATCATAGGGTGAATTTACATTTTGGTATAAATTGGTTAAACATTGATAATATGTATCAGAATTAGATAAAGAAATTTTAGGTTTTTTATGTGTCAGAATAAACATCCTTTTTTAAAGTAAAAATTTAGTAAAAGTGATTTGTATTTAGTCTCTGTAACAGGTGTCAAACTAATTCTTTTATGGCATCCAATGATTTCACATTTGCTTATAAACAAGGTTTAATAGACATGTTGTAGAGCAAATGATACCTTTTAAAATTTCACCCAAAATTTTATATTCAATGCATTTAAATGAATCTTTAACGTTACAGATATTTATCACAGCAGAGGAAATGGTGGAGAATCAATTTACGGTGCAGCATTTGAAGGTAAGTTTCGAAGTCAAAAATATTATGTTCAAACCTTTGATACAACTATGTCTTAAATATGGGATAGACATGTATCAGAGTAAAATATGAACTAATAGCAGATAACCATTATGTCACAGGAACAGTGATTTAATTGCTGTTCTTCATCTTAATAGATCATAAAAGTTCTTCAATAGTGAATTCAAAATCTCACTGCCTATTTCAGATGGTCTGTAGTGTCCATTAATTTGGTATATTCAAATAAATTATTGATAATTTCTACTTATATATAGGTCTTTGAAAAAATAAAAGCAAGACAATCAGTATTGTAGGGATAAAACTTGTGAAATCTTCCTTCAATCTATTATTCATTGCCTGATAGAGAATTGAGAATTATATTAACCCAAAACAAACCAATAATTAAGATTTTTGTGTTGCAAAACTTGAAATGGAGGAGTCAAGTTGAAATTGATAATGATAATTGGAGGACTGAATAAATTATTTTCAAAGCACAAGTATGTCAAATTAAAGCAGTGTAGCCATAAGCAATTTCTACAGTGATTAATTGGAAAAGAGATATAAGGGTATCATTAGCTCAGTTGTCAGTGCTTCACTTATTATTCATAACATACCTTTCCTAAATTCTATGTTGATGAATTTACAAATCATTAAGAAACAAAGGTTACAATTCCCTCAAGTAAAGTTGACATAAAGGTGGATTCAGCTATTCTTTAAAGATACCTTTTGGTCAAATATCTCCTTATGTATTTAAGTAGTTCTACTTTTTCGCTTGCACATTTTTGGGTTTGAGCTTTCTTGATAAATTTAAATCCAAAAAAGTGCTTCAGACACACCAAATTTATTAAGCATTAATTTTATCTTTCTTACAGTAAAAAGAAAGTATTTATTTACAATTAAACTAAAAGTTTTTTTCCTTCTTCAAAAATGTGTTCTCTATGCAGTTTAAAATGCAACTATGTACTAACGGCTTTTGATAAAGAATATTAAACATTTTTGTCTTCAGATGAGAATTTTGCAGTGTCACATGACAGGCGTGGTATAGTTGGAATGGCAAACAAAGATCGTCACACAAATGGTTCACAATTTTACATCACATTACAGCCTGCAAAGTGGATGGATACAAAATATGTTGCATTTGGGTAAAAAATTACATTTCACTTTGATTATTAAAATTATTTGTTTCATTTGCTTTAAAAAGTACTAAAATTTAGGAGAAATTTAGTTGGTAGATGCTTATATCACATAGACCATTTACAACCCTATATTTGGTTAATGAAATTCTTGATGCAAATTCTTTTTTTATAATGTTGTCTTTTTTTAAGTTTGAAGATATGGATCAAGTTCTTGGAAATTTTGAATTAATTAAAATTTGTTGTTGAAATTGAAAATAGCACCTTATAATAAATTAAATATTTTAAATACAGAATGTATAGCATCCATCAAACTATGGAAGGTCTCTTTGCCAGTTTTTGAGATACAAGCATTTGAAAAACTAGAAATTGACTAGAAAGGATGTCTTTGGATTTGCACATGTTGCCATCATCATAAAATATTTCAGTATTTAGATAGCAAAACATTTGAAAACAAGTCAACTCAGTTTGTAAATGCACAAAATAGCTGTCTAAGTCACATAATATTCAAAATATAACCTTAAGCCTTAAATAATACTTTTAGCCTTAAACATTGTTAACTTGTAAAGTATTATAGCTTATATGATACAAGAAAATAAATGTTAAATCTTTTTATATATATTTCAGACAAGTTATAGAAGGTACAAAGACACTGAAAATGATGGAAGAACAAGAAACAATGAATCAAAGACCGATGAAAGATATAAGGATTTTAGACTGTGGTGTGTGCAAATACGAATTCTAAATGTTTCAAATACTATACAGTTGTTGTAACTTAAAAGCAGGCCGGATTAAATCCGTGCATGAGGATTAATTTTTATCTGTAAAACATAAATACAGATTGCCTTAAAATGTTAGAAGATATAATTCAGAACCAAAAGATATATGCATTTTACTGCTGAATCTTATATAATATGACAAAATATTTTTCTCACTTTCGTCAATACTAATTTTTACTACATTTATATTGTTGAATACATATTTTTATTATATATTTAAAGAAAGATTAAGCAAACATTGTGTAAGTCTCCAAATTTGCCTTAAATCCAGCTACTTTTACTTGAAGATGGCCTTGTTTTTTGTCTTATTTACACAATTTTAAAAAACAATGTACATGCTTATTGTCTGTGATATATATTTGAATATTTCTTTGTTGAATATATGTATTTACATTGCTTTGAATATTTTTATTTACTTATTTGAAAACCCAAAAGATTTTTTCATTTATATATGTAAAAAGTGACATAATTTTGAAAAACAAGTGATCAGTTTTATAGTGTGCCTTTAATGGTTACAAAATATGTAGATATGAATTTTATTTTATCAGATTTATTATATCAGGTTTAATTTCTGTTTAATAAAATCTAAAATTTCATTAAAAATAAAACTTGAAAATACAAAGCTATTGTCTTTTTTTTTGTTTTCTGATGGGATACACTAGAGCTTTCACTACTTAAGTCTACAGGAAGTATTAAAATATGCACTTGTGTAATCTCTAATATGTGTTATATTGTTACATACTTGGTAAACTAAAATGTTATTTTTATGGAATGCTGGGGGTTGTGTTAACACCATTGACATAGTCCTAGAGATGGACTGGTACTTAAAAATTGTTCACACATTTATTGTCGTCCTTTGGTCTGTGGTAGATAATTGTCCCATTGGCGATCAAACAAAAACTCCTTATTTATATATTTATTCAAGGATCATATAAAAATAAGAAGATGTGGTATGATTGCCAATACCAATAAGATTATTTAAGAGAAAATATTATATTCAATCATCCTGAATGACTATGAAAAGAGAGATATTGGGTTAAATATGACAGCAGCCTATCAAAAATGTCAATCCATTGGTAGCTTTAAGGTATGTGACAAGAACATTTTGCAAATATGTATGTGTTTTCATGTGTATAAAAGAAGGTATTGGGGTATACTTCAAAGAGATGGCAACTCAACAACACAGTAAAATGAGTGTACAATATACATGAATTTCAAATGATATATTCTTTTGAATATGCATGTAATATTTGCTAGTGAATTGTAACGCACAACTAAATCTACCCCGGTAAATCATAGAAAAATGAGTTTGCCATTGTTAAGTTCACTTTTCTTCTGGTACTCTTTCTTGCAGTATGTTTCTTTGTGGTGGGTCCTTACACTTCTTTTATGGATTTCCCTCCAATCAGTTTCCATAAAATATCAATGTAGGTCTGTTTGATTTATAAAAAATTACTTGTAATATCAGTGACCACAATCCATGATTAAGATTTATTAAAAGTACATCTGTTTTCTTTTTGGTATGAAAAAATAATTTACAATACATCTTAATTATTCTAATGGTCATTAGTTATTCTCCTGTCATGAAGAAAAGATCTCTATTTCCCACAATTAGATCATCATCTGCTTGTATGATGTTTTTCATCAGTACATGGAGGTATTATACTTCCATGGTCAGTATAAAATCTACATATTTGACATATTTTTCACTGCATTTGACAAAAATAATTTCAGAATGAGTGCCCATTTGTCCAGTTGTTTATAAATGATAATTGTAATCATGATTATGTCCCCTACAAAGTCTTGGTGTAAATGAATTGACCTGTCTCTCCAGTTGTTTATTAATGATAATTGTAATCATGATTATGTCACCTACTTAGTCTTGGTGTAAATGAATTGACCTGGCTCTCCAGTTGTTTATTAATGATAACTGTTATCATGATTATGCCACCTGCAAAGTATTGGTGTAAATGAATTGACCTGTCTCTCTCTCCAGTTATTTGTTTAATTTTCTTCACACATCATGTTAGAAAAAGTGGTTATTTAACATGACCATAGGTCAGATGTTGATTCTATCAAATACTTCGAAAGATAAACTTATGAATTTACGAAAATTTTCTTCCTGGTTCGATCTCATCATGTCATCACATAATTTATTGTTTATTTATCTACTTGAGTACATTGAAATTGCCTAGTATGAAAAAAATAAGGTATCAATATGATTATGTGAATGAAATATCAGCATCCACATAATGATTACAACTCTTTTGGTATTGGTTATGAATTAATGAGGATGTGGATGGGGATGTCTTCTTTTCTCTATTCTTTAATCTATAGGCAGTTTTTCTCTATTTTTATTTTTATTACCTATTTTTCTCTATCCTATATTCTATTAGCACCTTCATTCTCTTTTGTATTCCCTTTATTCTCTATGCTGTAAACCCCACCCAGACACTCATTTTTAACTAGTTGAATTAGCTCATACTGTATTGATGTGAATGTGGTAACATTTTCTTGTTTTCTAAGCTTAATTTTATAATTTTACTCCTTTTAAATTTACTCTCCTGCAATCATCTTCCATTGTAACTGACATTGCATAAGATATTTTATATATGCGAAGCTTGGATTGTTTATCCTAATATTTAGATGTGTTTTCGTGAGGATGTTGTGGTTCATCGGGTCTTTTTGAACTATTTTTTTTTACCCTACATCCATCTCTCACTTTGTACAACCATGCAACTCCTTCCATTAAATTAGTGTATTGAAATTGCTTTAATTCAAAACCTTGAAGCATGAAACTGGATATAGTGTTAGATTATTACATAGGTATACCGTATTCATTTTGATTTTCCGGAAGCCAAATCAAACACTTTTAAGTTAGAATTCCAGACCATGACTATAGCAGAGACATATGATACAATTGTATTATGTCTTTTACTATAGACATTGATAAAACAACATAGGTTAGGTTAAGGTTGAGCGCTCACAAACATGTCTAACCCGACACATTCTTTATGTGCCTGTCCCATGTCAGAAGCCTGTAGTTCAGTGGTTGTCGTTGGTTCATGTCTGTCATAAAAATAAGAAGATGTGGTATGAGTGCCAATGAAACAATATCTATCCAAGTCACAATGTGTAAAACGTAAACAATTATAGGTCAAAGTTCGGCCTTCAACACGGAGCCTTGGCTCACACCGAACAGCAAGCTATAAAGGGCCCCAAAATGATAAGTATAAAACAATTCAAGAAAACCAACGGTCTTAAATCTATACGAGAAACGAGAAACACTTGAGAACCACACTGAAACAGGTTCCTGACTTAGGATATTTGTTTTTCTTAAATTGTTTTGTTAGGGTTTTTCTCATTGTTGAAGACTGTACGGTTGCCTATAATTGCTTACATCCACCTCATTTGAACTTTGGTGGATAGTTGTCTCATTGGCAATCATACCACATCTCCTTATTTTTATATAAAAAAGTAAAATCATCACCTTGGTTCATATTCTTAACTGGAATGTATCTCACCTTTTGAAATAAGAGTATATGTACGTATAAAAATGAGCAATACTTTAATGTACAAGCTATTTCTTCATCAAGTTCAATTGTTTTCCTATATGAATTTTATAAACATTCTAATCTGATAAATTAAAAAAATGCTGGTACAACGTCAATAAGACAGCAACCCAACGACTCAATTAACCAAAAGACGTTTAAAGACACCAACATAGGGCTTCATCAGTAGATAGATGTCTATGCAACAAGTCAAACTCTATTCGTCCGAGTTTGAAAAAGTGAATGAATTTAACAGAGAAATGAAATACAACAAAGGTCAAATAAATGAACGTACAATATAATATAAACAATAAGTACAGGAAAACACTTTACTGAATTTAGAAAATGTGACGGTGACATGACACCAATCAACATTACAAAGCATTTTTATGAAAAAAAGCAAATAAGAATGATCAATATCCGACACGAGTACAAATATTGTGTTCACTTCCTCTGCATTTCAACGAAAAGCTCGACTATATAGTCACGATATTTCTTATTCAATCTGCCTTAAATTTTTTTCGCCTTTTATAAATAATCTTGCAACAAGTTCGTTCAAACTCACATCTGGAGCTCGCTGTGTAGGTTTTTTTTTATCATAAAAGTATCATCACACTATACAAAACAAGCTTACGGGTGTCAAATGTGGAGCAGGATTCGTTAACCCTTCCGGAACACCTAATGGTGGTGTTCGTGTTTGGCAGTTTTTATTCTTTTATGCAGTGTTTTGTAGACTGTTGTTTGTCTTTTTTTTAATTTTTTCTTGATTTTGTCGGAAATCTTTTCTACTTTAGAGTTTCAGATTCTCTTTCCGCATCAAATTGAATTTTGTTATCCAGACCATAATGTTATCGGCACTGCGGCGTATTATATTCGCTCCAATTTGAATCATTTGGGCCAAAACAAAGTTTTCATATGCACCAACAAAACTTATTGCGCCATTTTCACAAAGTCAGTCTGTCTAAGTACAGAGTACAAAGACAATACATGTGGAGCTGGAAAATGAGTATGGCAGGGTTTTTTTTAATCATCTGATAAAAGGTGTATTGCTTTTTCTGATTATCTACTTGATACTCAAGTAAATCCCAAGATCAGCCCCTTTGTCTATATTTTCACTAGGAGGTATCTCATCTTGCAATGTATAAGATTACTAAAGCAAAAATATCAGCTTTGATTTGCATGGGTATTCCCTGTCCCATTTTAAAAAAAATGAACATCTTTGAAACCAAACTTTTGTAGAATTATAAACGATTTGATGATTCTATAAAAATTGTTAAACCATTTCATCCACGACAGTAGGGCATGAGAATGGTAGGACATAATAATTTTCATTAGTATTTCAGAAATTTATATTCTAAATTGATGTGCTTGAATAATCCTTAACCATATTTCACTCGGTGTAGATAGTGATTAAAAATAAGTTACAATCGACATACAAAATGACATGTTTCTCAGATTATTCCTTACTCATTTCATTGATTAGATCAGTATTTTGCAGTGATGATAAGATTCCTATCCTACTTTTAAATTTCAATATGAAATTAAAGACGGCTGCCATCAGTGGAAATAATATCTCTTAACCCCGAGAAGTACAGACATAAATCCTCAAATGTATTTTACTGATTGGGTATATTTTAGTAATGTTCTATGTTTCTTCATAACACTTGTGATCTGTTAAGTAAAATATGTGTACGTCTCATCATAATATACAGTAACGAAGGATTATTGGTACAAGTTCAATCGAGGTTCGGAGCTCGTGTCGACACAAGGCGAATCCATGGTAACTGTAGGAAGTTAAAATATAAAAGCTAAGTGAATATCTTTAATATGAAATTACCTGATTTAGACTGCAATACGGAAGGATATTGTTAATCTTTATACAAACATCTCTATATTGACCTGTTATAGGGAAGTATTTAAGTGCATACAGATTATCAATTGAAAGCAAATACATATTTACAGCTCCATGTAGTCTATCAAACATTTACGATAAGGCAGATCCGCAATTACAAAGTCTGCCTTCAAAGTTATATCCCAAGGTGTGCTGTCTCATCCGAGTATTTTTATAGATATAAGAAGATGTGGTATGAGTGCCAATGAGACAACTCTCCATCCAAGTCACAATTTGTAAAAGTAAACCATTATAGGTCAAAGTACACGGAGCCTTGACTCACACCGAACAGCAAGCTATAAAGGGCCCCAAAAATGACTAGTGTAAAACCATTCAAACAGGAAAACCAATTTTTATGTTTACTTAGAATTCGGTGTTTGTAATATGCTAACTATTCACAAATTGTCTTAAATCAGTGTGAATAAGAGCAAGCTACACTTTATAATGAATGATCGTTGAGAAAATCGTATGTTTACACCAAAAATATCTATTTTGGTTAAATTTTGTTGTATCACAATCTAATTAAAATTAGTTCTCCGCACTTGCTCCTCGTTGTTTATATGTCACGCGCGACATATAAACAACGAGGAGCAAGTGCGGAGAACTAATTTTAATTAGATTGGTTGTATCATTGACTCTTCCATCACATCTTTTATTCAAATGAATATGAGGGTACCCTCAAAGTTCCCTTCTTCATATACTCTTCATTGATACCACAAACCTTATTTCATTTGGAGTTTCTAGACATGGGATTCTAGAAAAAAGGAAGCTGCTCCGACCTAAAAATTCAATTATATATATGTATTAGGCTAGCAGTCTGAGATACTGTCTAACATAACTGCTCGGTTTAGAGCCAATATTGGACAGGGATCCCAGTGTGATATAAAATGACCAAAGTTCTTGTCTCTATACTAGTTTTCTATGATGTTCTACTTATTGGTGATGCTCTACTGGATTTCAGTTTCTAAAACAGACCTGTATTTCTGAACTTTCGTACATTATATTGATTAATTGATTGGTTGGTGCTTAACGCCACTTTCAACACTATTGTGCTATTTCGTGGCGGTCAGTTTTTATTGCGGAATTCGAACTCACAACCTCAGTGTTGACTGGCTAGTGATACAGTAGTTCGACTACTTAGACCACTCGGCCACCGAGGCCACCTTCGTTCATTAGAGATTAACAGATAATTTTAATGGGTGTTATTTGCTTTTATGTCATCATTATCAACATGTCGTCAAGTTGTGCAATGTCATTTTTCTTTATCATTATGTCAAGGGTAGGCTACTCCTACGAGAGGACTTTTACATCGATGTTTACAATCTTTTATTTATCAGATACATATGTTATCTTTAATGATAAATCAACAAAATACTATTCACCTTGATTATCACTATCATATAGGATGAACGAATCTTGTCGAGATTCGGACTGTAAACTGTAGTCAGATGTAGGGTTGTAAAATTTCCATTTATGGTATTAAAATTAAATTGCTTTAACATCAAATGCGTTTTAACATGCAGTTCTATTCAATATACATACTACTATGCTCTTCCCGAATTGTATGTATCAGGAATTCCCGCCATAAAGTCGTTATCCAATCTCAATTATGGAGAAAAATTGTACTTAATAATACCATATAAACGAATGCTCGCAGTTACTGAAAGTAAGCTCAAAGTACTTCACATGTGCCGTCAGGGATTAATTACACTCACGTATATATACATGGGTAGATTTCGGGGATGGGGCACTTACTTTACTCACTATATTATGAGTGGTTCTGAGGAATGCGCTCTGGAATAGGTCACTATTTTAAGCTTAATGGTGTATGATAAGGTCACGAAATTAAGATGAAGCATATGAAAAGGTTGCTGATTGATTCAATGTATATGATGAAAATAATCTATGTCGAATTTTGTTCACAAATGCGATTAAATCAGTCAAGATCGACGTTAAACATTCCCTTAGTAGTAGTAGTAGTAGTAGTATATGAAAAAGGTGGGGTATTGGATGTCTCAGCTGGTCAACCCTACCAGCAAAGAATTGAAGTGCACCTCCCCTTGAGCAGGGGCCGAACCAGGATGTTTAAAAGGGGGCGTAATTCTATAAAACGGTAAATAAACTGCCGAGTCGACCGAGGCGAACATTTTTTGGATTATTATATGCTAAAAAAATATATTCCAATTCTCTACGCCCCCACCCATGAATCCTCCACTGCTGAGAGATAGATGTTGTAGCGACACATATATCAGATTTTATCATGACGGTTACTAGAGACTATGTTTGGTTTATAATTGGCAATGTATATCAATTACAAGCTCTGGAAAAAGCAAATTTACATCTATTTTTGTTGATTGGGATGTTTTTTGTCTCTTTCAAACGCGTTTTCAGTCCTGAGTGCTTGTAATTAGTCAGTTCTTCGTGAGTAGTCGGTTTTTGGGGAAGGAAGTTTTCCAACCAATCTCACTTTCAGATTTAAAACATATTATTTCCCTTCCTCCTAAACACAGGAACTTGTTGACTTGATTGCCCTTCACTTCTCTTGTTTTTTTTTAATTAATTTCTTTTCCGGCACTTTTGTTAAATGGTCTGTTAAAAATAAACGTTCAACAATTGTCCATGTTCCAATATTGATAGTAGAGATTGATACATGCTCCTTTGAAAAATAGAATAATTGATTATTCCTCCTCTCTTGGTATTTGATTTTTTTGCTTCTCTCTTGGTGTTTGATTTTTTGCTTCTCTCTTGGTGTTTGATTTTTTTGCTTCTCTCGCGGTATTTGATTTTTTTGCTTCTCTATTGGTATTTGATTTCTTTTGCTTCTCTCGCGGTACTTTTATGAAACTATTTTTTTTGCGTTTATCATTAATTTAAAAGATCATTTAATAAAAGCGACGAAAAAGAAAATCAATAAAAAAAAGGGGGAGGGCAAACCAATTAAGTCAACAAGTACTTGTGGTAAGAAGCTGACTGGTTTCAGCCAGAAACTTATATTTGTATATTGTAACAAGGGGATGGCTGTTAGACTAATTTTAAATCTTCAAAGTGTTCTAATAATTAATAATTCAAATCCCACCGCGTGAGGAAGGAAAGTCGTTTAACTTGTGGTGACCTACATAACAGACAACCGATCCTTCAAGTTGAGGGTCCTGTTTGATTTTCCGATCGATAATTGACGTCATCCGTTATTGGTATGCGATGGTTATTCATATTCATATGATAAGCTCATGTGACCTTCATAAAATACTTAAATAGCTATGTATATCTCTTCCGTCTTCACAAGCTTTTGTAGTTTTCAGAAAATATCAGTTCAATATTTTCATCCTGTAATCCATAAGATCGACGATGGATGTTACATATAGGAGTACCAAACTGTTAGTGGTTATCTGCTTTGCAGTATTAAATTCTAAACCTGGAATTGGTAGGTCATATTTAAACAGATTCAAAATTTCGAATGATTGTGCAAGACGCTATTTTTTTTTGTTACTGGCTAAAAGTTCCTTTGATTACTTCCTTATTTGAAATTTATCGTTGTGAATTTACAATATCAATTTTAAACTATTTGTAAACATGAAATACTACCATACGCTTAACCTGTTAACAATATAATATATCAACTTAGTTAAAGCAGATTTTGTATGCGGTTAAAACGGTGTATTTCCAACATGAATACCATGGGAATGAATATAGATCCTAAACAAATTAATAATATTATATACCAATTCTCTTAAAATTCAGTTGATAAATCTTTTTGAAATTTGATCAATTCTGGTTCTTTTAAGATAATTTTATTTGACTTTTAACAGTAAAATTAAAAATAGCATCATATTCATAGATGGTAGTCTTTTTTAATAGAGCTTGGATAAATCAAAATTATGGGAAAATAAGTGTCCTTGTTTTTTAAATACAAGTTTAAAAAACTAAAATTTCCGGAGGAAAAGGGAAGTCGTTGATTTATCATATAAAAATAAATGAAACAAAGATAAATAAATAAGTGTTTATATGTAAGAAAAGTATATTCGGAATAACAAAAATGTGGAAATATTTAGTAAAAGTGCTTTGATGCTTTTTTTTATTACATTGAGAAATGCAGAGATTACAAATTTTTTAATGCATTGACTAGAAAAAACCTAGAGTAATAAACTACCTGTGTTAAAGAAGGGGGAAATGACACAGCGACTACGCTTAAGAGTTAAGTGTTTTGTCTTATAGTTTTTCGGTTTACCAATCAGTTGAGATTACAATTAGTTATTTTTCGTATCTTTCAGCATTGAAACATGTCAATGACATTGCAGCAGCAACTGTCCTTCAGACAACAACCGACCAAAACACGTCAGATAGTTCTGTAACGACTACAAGAGACTCAAACATTACCGATCAGACAACGGAACTCTCAAATGTTACCATTCAAACAACGATAACTCCAAATATTACGAAAGAACCAACAACGGAAAATTCTAACATTACTATGGAGCCAACAACTCAAAATTCAAATATTACCATGGAACCCATAACTAAGGCCTCAAACGTGACAGTAGAACCAACAACGAAAAACCCAAATGTTACAGTAGAACCAACAACCAAAAACCCAAATGTTACAGTAGAACCAACAACTAAACACCCCAATGTTACAGTAGAACCAACAACAAAAAACCCTAATGTTACAATAGAACCGACAACTAAACACCATAATGTTACAGTAGAACCAACAACAAAAAACCCTAATATTACAATAGAACCGACAACTCACCAAAGAAATACGTCTACACCAATGTCAACTCCAAAAACGAAACCACATTCAACAACACATGCAATGCCGGCCACCACAAAGAAGTATAAATTCAATGGTGCAAGTTTTGGAGGAGGAATTGCTTTGGGAGTGGGAGTATCAGTTGTTATAATACTGATTGTTTACTTTTTGAAATGCAGAAAAAGTGATGCGGGATACGACAGAATGTGAAGCTAACAATATTTGCTTATAATTATAATTTTGGTAATCTCATTTTCTTAATACTGATTTTATATATAAGACCATTCTAGTGAATCATTATGTCATTGTCCTGCTATGAATTCCAATTACCATTTGGGGAAAAAAGGAATTCATTATACAAAATCCCTTAAGCCAACTGACAAAACTCAAAGAAAAAGAACAGTGCTTTTATTTTTGTACTTTATATTAAAGTCAAAGTGAGACCTTCAACACAGGACTACAGTTCACACCTCGATGGAAGTTCACGACGGATCAACAATTTCGGGAACACAAGTGAAATATTACTTTTACCAATGTATTTATTTTTATATGATTTACAATTTGTTTTTGTTATATAAAATATTACTTAAACAAAGTTTTGTTAGCTTTTTATCAATAGTTGATTGATTGTTTTTTTTTACTCTCAGTGACAAATATTTCAGGACGAGAACAACTTAACAATAAATACAACAGGTATAGGTCCAACAATAGGGGATCGACTGACATATTGGGCGGGAAATAATACTGCCACTGGAAAATGATAGGGACAGAACCTTAGTCTTGAAACAGGCCACTTACGGACCACCAAGAATTTGCAAGGGTTCTTAACGTGCAGACAGCGTGGCACTTTCTCTACACAAGGCTTCAGATTTAACGTCCCCATTCTGAACGGACGTTGCTGCGAATTTATACACCACGCAAACCTCAACGAACGCCCACATTTTGCAAGGGTTTTACTGCCTGTCGGAAGAAGACCAATGATGACCCTATTTCTATACACCAGCCATCCTTGTGATTTTTTTATCATTAGTTATGCATTACTATTTTTGTATCATTTTTATTTTTGTATCATTTTTTATAAAACGGACACCAATCCTAAATCATACTCATATGATATGAAAACAAACTCGTTGATGCAACTTCCTGGTATGGGTATGACAAGGGGGTGCAACATCTTGGTCACTTCGCAAGGTATGCAATCTGTTTACGTTACCAGTTTTGCATTGTTTATAAATGTAAGGGAGCTACCATTTGATTTTTATGGGGGGAAGGCTAGGATGAAATTTAAAAAAATAGGCAGGACAGGAGTTTTGAGTAAAACAAAAGGCAGGATGAGACACTTTGCAAAAAAAAAAAAGGCAGGATGACAATTTATGTAAAAATAAGTCAGGATAAACTAAAAAAAAAGTCAGGACCGAATAGAGTGAAAAATTAAAAGGCAGGACAGAGATTACGACTAAAAAAAATACATACAAAATTTTTTATCCTTGCACCCCTCTCCCCCCCCCCCCCCCCCCCCATAAAAATCAAATGGCAGCTCCCTAAGAATGTTATTCTACCCTTTACATAGTTTTCCTTCGCAACGTTATCACCATTTGATTGTAATTCTTTGCTTTTTCGCTATAACTTTTGTCCGGTGATTTATCATGCAATTATATACTAGAACTATAAGGACAGTTCATTCTAATTGTTTAAACGACCGGTTTTGGTCGAATACGTGATTACTTAGGTGTCCGTCGGTCTGTTGTCTGTCATTAATTTTTCAAAGAGAGTTCAACTCTGAAGCTAGTATACTGAAATCATTCAAACCAATCAGACGTCATGATTGATTCTCGCTATATAAAAATGTTCTGACTCTATTATTGCAGGCATGACTACAACTTCTAAAAATAAAATTGGGGTAAAATGCAAGTGTATAGTCTTATATCTTGAAAATTATAATAGATTGAGAAAATCCGACAGGTGCCTAAATGTTAAGAATGTCAAGATCTACCTGCTCTTCATTTATTCAAAAAAAATCAATGTGTATCTATAAAGGAGTTATTGCCCGTAAATGATGATATTTGTTTTACTAATTTTAGTAGTTTTGCTCATCAACGTGAAAACTACAGTAGATAGACAACGCTGAAAAAAAAATTTGATCATTACTATACGATCTACAAAAATGTCAACATGACTGAATATACAAATTGAGCCCCAAAGAAGAGTTATTGTCCTTAAATGACTTATGGTTACACAATTTATCAGTTTCGCCTATTATATTAAACACGTTTGGGTTATCTGACAGTGTGAATGGTGTATATGTCTATCGAGAAATTGAAGGAAGCAAAATTATGGAAAAGATGCAGACATTGAATATGGAATTAATACATTTGTAAATCCCAACAAAAACAGAAGTGAAACTGTCCTAATTAGTTTCTGGGAAAATGTGTCTTTCAGATCATTTTATGACCTATACTATCAGTTCAAGTTTATATTGCGGGAAACGATGTGCTGTTTTTTTTTAAAGAATCCTATATATTTAGATTGAGCCATCATAACTATATCGAATATCTTTTTGATGAGGCCTGATTTATACATATTAAATTAATTTTGATACATAATAATAATTTTAGGTTAACAACAGGAAAACTTTTAATAGATTGCAATGCACAAAGTTCAAGCTCTTATAACTATTGGTGAATTACGGTGTCATAAAATCCTGCATACATCCATATAAGTGTGTCATTATTATGTTGAATACATGTAAGCATGGTGAAAATTTCGCTCTGCATAACATCGTATCGCTTTATTATATTGATTCAGTGGTATCAAAACTACATCATGTACAATACATTTCCCGGCAAAAATAAATTTAAACAGACAACACATAAATCTATAACATTTTGCATTATCTCCGCCAACATTTATGTCAGCAGGTATATGGGCTTTTTCATTGCGCTTAACCATTTTATTAACTTTTTAACCAATATATTTCTTTTGCTAGGCATCCAAATAAAATAATGGTTAAATTTGATACACTAGAAAACTGTTACCTGCAATATGATGCATGGTCCTTTGAAATGATATTTATAACCAATTGTACTGCCTAATGAAGACAACTAAGTAAAAATGGTCATTCGTTTATATTTCTGTAAAAGGAATCAACTCACAAGTCGTAACAGACTTCCAAAACTTTACATTGTTCATGCAACTTTTATCATTATCTGGTAAAATCAAAACTTGTGTTAATAGTAATCACTGCTCCATTTTAATACCACAAACTAATGTGTGCAAGCCTATGTTCATAATCTATTTTTATATGCTGTGTTTTGCAGACTATTGTTTAATAGAAAAACAAAGGATATGGGTATCAATCCATGACGACACAAAATCAGTACATGGACAGCAACAAAAAAAAACAATAAGCAAAGGAACAGTGCTTTTATTGCTGTTCTTCATCTCAAAGTCACAGTGAGGCCTTCAACACGGAGGTCTCTTTTGCATCTTCCTTCTCTCTTTTATATCTTCCTGCATGTAACAACAATTCTCCACTACCTTTTCTATTACAAATTAAGCTAAATATCAAATTTCTTTTAATCAACACAACGTATCGGATTTGATCCTCCTCAAAATCATGAATAATTGGATTTAAAATTTAGAAATTAATTTTATAGCTGTAAAAACCTTCCTTTATATAATGTATACAAGGCCTTTGAGTCTAGGCACAAAAACTGTTCAAAGATGGAATAAAAATGGGAAAAAAAAATACATTCTGCACTTTTAAGCTCACCTGACCCGAAGGGTTATGTGAGGTATTATCATCTCTTCTCTTTCATCTTCAATTTTCACATTTAAACATACTGTAAAACCACTTTGACCAATTGGAACCAACTTGTCAAGAATCTTCATTGGAAGATACTTACGAGTTTGAATTTTTTGTTTGGATCAGACATTCAAAATGGCAAACAGGACCAAAATGTTTGAGATTTTAAAGATCTTTTGAGTAAACACTTGGTTTATTAAATTGAGACATTACCGGAATGACCCAAAGACAGTCCTTTACTGATTTTGTGTTTTTGCTGTCAATCCATATCAAGATGGTCATCACCATGGTACAAAGTTCAACATACAACCTTACCAATAATACACACAGAAACCGTCGCACACATTTAAACCAAATCCAACAATTACTATCCAAACTGATCTGTGTCCATACTTGTTACAATAATAAAATTTATTGTCAGAATGCGTTCTTTCTTGTTCGTATTTTTTTCTGTAAACTGTTTTAACTGTACGTAGTACTTGAAAACCTTGACAATGTAACAAGATGAATTTAAAGTGAAATAGAAGGAAATTATGCATCGTTTGTACTCCAAACTTGTATACTGAACAGATATATCATGTTATGGAGGAGTATTTGCGAAAAATACCAGTCAAGGGACGGTGAAATTTCCCAAGCCGGTAGGCTAGGGAAATTTGGTCCCAAGACTGGTATTTTTCGCAAATACCCCTCCATAACATGATATATCTGTTTAATTACACCGAATAGATTTTGATTGAAACTGTCTGTACATGTGAAGGGAAATCGTATAGTACCGCGGGAATTATACATGTACTTATAAGTGTTAGTGCTGTCTTTTTGTGCATAACGTCATGGTATCTATATGTGTAAACGTCATTGTTATTCCATCATTAATTCGTTCATTTGTATAGACATTTTTTCCCCCTCTTTATATATATATTTCTGACAGTTTACGGTTTAACTCAATCAATAGTGCTTAACCATGTTATCGGGAAAAAGTGAGAAAGGTTCCGAATAATTTTGGCGGGAACAGGCTCGCGAGGGTAAAAAGGGAATATCCAAAATGGCAAATACCACGGCCGAGAGGGGAATTTGAGGCAAATTCACCGGCAGTGGTGAAAAAACAGGCAAATTCGTTTGAAATGAGGAAAAAATGTTAGAATATGCGAGAAATACACTGGCTAACAACCAATCAAAATCCGGCATTCTTATATAAGGTGTAATTATATTAAAAATAAGCTTGACTGTTGCGAATTAAAATGGTTTTCTTGCGAAATAAGAGTAAATCGACTTGATCGCTAGTAGTTTTACCAGACAAAGCCAGTTCTGCGCTCGTAATGGACCGATTCACGTAACAACAACAACAAAACACAAACACGATTCAGAAGATTACAACAGGAAACGATACCTATACTATGCAATACCCCGTTACTATACTTAGGAATTGACATTTGTTTGAACCGAGAACAGAGCTCTCACTCACTTCATATGCATATTTTGTAAGAAGCGCTTTGAGCATCGACAACGAAACTTCGAGGTAGATAGTCCTACAATTGCTACAGTCATGAGCATGTCGATGTCTTATATGTAGTACAGCGGGAAAAAGTGAAAACATGGGGGCTTTTTGTATTTCATTGATTGATTATTGCTTTCTTGACGTCCAGTGGCAAATATTTTATGCATGTTTAGGACGACGAGAACAAACCATCAATCAAAAGTACGTTTATCAGGATCCATGACTGGAAATTTGGGTTGCCAGAGGATAACGACGGTATGTAAGATAGGAACAGAAATATTACCTTGCAGCAGGATACTTGCGGATCATCAAAGAGTTGTTGCAACAGTTTTTAACGTACTGAGAGGGTGGAACTCATCCTGCATGATCCATCGGATTCTACGTCCCCATTCCGACTAGACGTGGCTTCATCATAAGAACATCCACATAACTAAACGGAAGCCTAGATTAAGTAAGGGTTTACTAACGGATAGGAAAACTCATGGGGTGACAATATTTCTGTACACAGCCAACCCTTTAAAAAAATGCCAATTAAAGCCTTTAGTGAAGAAGTTTTAAGTTGGAATTCCTGATTTTCTTACAAATGAACCCACTGCACAGAACATACGTACATCAAGTGATTTATTGTTCAATTTGTTCTCGTCCTGAATATGCGCAAATAATAGTTAATCAGTAATAATCGGTCACAGTTAAAAGTTTAAAAGCCCGGGAATTCATAAAGCAATTTTTTTTGGGGGGGGGGGGGGGGGGGGGGGGAGTAAAGCCTACCTAGAACAAAACAAGCAAACATGAACATAAGTTTTAGAGAAAGGAACTTACTGGGAATTAGAAATGTGTCGCCTTTGAGTCATCTGATACTGAACATGTAAGTTCTTCCGATATTACAGAACAATAACATTTAGGCCATTTTCCGTTGGATGCAATCTCCATTATAATAATGATACGGAAGCTCTTAAAGTTCATGTAAGGATTTCGTTTCAAAAACTGTCTAGTCAACACTAATCACAGAATACATTAGTCACTTGCACGATATATTGTTCTTTCGTACATTAACTCGCTGATAGGACATATTTCTCAATATCCAAATGCGTCTGATGATTACACACAATAAATGTGTAAATATGATTTTATCTTCATTATCTATTAAAATCACGAGATATTCTCTTCAAACTTTAACCTTACTAGTTACTGCAGTTGATATAAGTCGGATATTTAACACACTGGTAGAAGAATTTTGAGTCGAGAAAACTTACATTATGATGAAAGTGTGTTTCGTAGTAGCCTTTTTTATTGTGTCTGGTTGTGTGGCACTTCCAACAAATGGTAAGATAAAAGACCACTGAAAATTTCAAACGAGTTATCATACCCTTTTTTTCCCTCCCCCTTTATCCTTTAATCTTAAAACCTGCTACCCTTAATGTATTCCGATGTCATTGAGACATTATTCCTTTTAACTTTAACATTATCTTTCTACTATTTGACGTTCGTAAAGTATATAAGCGTTATTTAATAAAAGGTCAAGAAGAAAATTAGGATGAATCGTATAAGAAAGGGAATGAAAGCCGACTTTCTTTCTATTGAAAATCGGGCAATTACGTGTTACGAATTGTTTCACATTTGTTTTTATGTCGGGACCTTTTATAGCCGACTATACGGGTTTTTTTCTCATTTTTGAAGGCTGTACTGTTGCATTAAATTGCTTACACGCACTTCATTTGAACCTAAGTGGATAGATGTCTCATTGGCAATCATATCACATCTCTTTACTTTTACATAATGTAGATATGACGCGTGCATCTGTGCTTTTAAATTTTCTACTTGTTATAGTACTTACGACCGCCAAAAAATTAATACATATAAAGTAGAGCCTCTGGAGGTTTCGTTCGTCCAATAAGTCAATGAATCTCGTTGAAGCAACATCAAATGAAAGATCTTGCGGTATGAAGAAGAAAAAGAATATCTTATTCAAAGCACAGGCATTTTTTTGAATGGAGTCCCCTTTTTCTATATTTTTTTTGTGTTTTAATTTTTCAAAGGTAAATATTCCTTAATATTTGAACTTATTTACTCGTATTTAATATGTTCTTATTGTGATCCATACGATTTTACAATAACTTGTTTATTTATGATGCCTCTCTGTTCTTATTTTCACGGCTATTCTTATTTTCCATGTGGAAAATCAACCGTGAATAGAGTGGCATCATAAAACCTACTGTTATTGCAAAATCGTACGAATAACAGCCATAACAAATCAAATAAGTAAAATTAAGCTAAAATATGTAAAAGGAATAATTACTCGTGATTTGCATTTTACAAATTATGTATGCATATGTTGCAGGGTAAATCGACGGTAGGTTGCCATTGGACATTATCTTATACATTTACTCTAATCTTTCAGGAGCGCCAAATCCATCTTCTGCCGATATGACCAAAAAAGCAACGGTAGTGTCGTCTCAAACTAACGATATGACAACAGTAGTAACAACAGAACCACAACAGACAACAAAACCACAACAGATGACAACAAATAGTCAAACTACAGTCAACCCCGTCACCTCAATGTCAATGACAACAGAGTCAATGATGACAAATAATACTATGCCACCTAGCTCAGAAACCACTGCCAGTCAAATGTCTACACAATCCTCTAACACTTCTACTGTTACAATGATGACAGACGAACCATCAAACATGACGTCTGCTGGACCAATGACAACGATGCCGGCTGCTGTGACCACAGCGGGAAAGGTGACGGCGCACCATCCAACAACACATACACCGAAACCAACCACACAAAAACCAGAGACAACAACCAAAAAATCTAAATTTCAAGGAGGAACGTTTGTCGGAGGAATGTTTTTGGGAATAGCACTGGCGTGCATTATAACAGCTATTGTATACTTTCTTAAATGTAAAAATCAAAGCTATGGGAAAGTCAATTAAAATCCAACAAGTTTATTCATCTTATAGATGTTATACCGAATTTCTAGTCATGAATATAGGATTAAGAATAATTTAAAATATATTTTGAAGTACGAATATTTGTTTAAGATGGCACAGTAGATCTGTAACCATAATGAACATATCTTTTGACTTTGTCGTTGATCGACGTAGTTGTACAAAATTGCTTATAATGTGTATTCGTGGTGTTAGTGTTGTTTATGATATAAGATGCATTAAATTAAAATGGTTTCAAAATAATTATCTCGCCTAAATATTTTTTGTGCATGTCTTGTTCAGTTATTTTTCAAAGGATAAAAAATACCCTTATGTAGTGAAGAGCCATCAAAGGCATCAGGCAGGCTATTTATTATGTACGCCAGACACGTTTTGATTACTCAAGACTCATCAGTGACGCTCGGACGGCCAAATGACTTATTAAATTGAAGAGTGTCTAAAACCGAAAATGAAAGAAAAAATTGTACCAAAATCTGAATCGGATCATCTATGCCTGGTGGTTGAAAAACCTTAGTTGTGCCAGAAGTCGACCTTTTTCGTTTCTCTGTCAGTCTATAAGATAAACTTCGTTTCTCTGTCAGTCTATAAGATAATCTAAATACGTTGATTTCATAAACATGATATAAGTAAATGCACAGAAAACAAATAACACACAAAAACCTAAAGTTTACTTTGCCAATTGACATAAAAACATGAACAATTGGTGACCGATCTAATTGAGCACATATTCAATTTATATTGTCATATAGCAAAATATATTCACCTGAGTATATGAAAAAATATAATGAAACATGGACATAATCAATCATACCACATTGTATATACATTTACAGGCGCTAATTTCTGTTCAATTTAAAATTAAAAAAAAGACACAGAAGCTCCATGGGTGCATACCTAAGTTGAGATCTTCGTGGATTTGTAGCAGACAAAAGAGATTTTTGTGTCGAGTACATTAAAGACTGTAGAGTTTGCTGACAATTTACGTCCAAGTGGGAAAATGCCCAAATGTCAGTCTTTTAACTGTTGCTGGTACCTTGACCTTTGACCTAAACATCAAATCGGGTCTATTCGTTCCAGGTTTGATATTGAAAGATACAGTTATAATTTATCGCTCAGAAGATATTGTCCCGAAACAAAACATTTCCCAAACATATAGGATATGTTACCTTCACTGACTAAACTGTTTATAGAGTTTACTTCTATCCAAATGGCCGTCTCCCGCTAAACTTGGTGAAGGTTGGACAAATCATTCCAGAAATAAATTGCTTTCAATATAACACCCTATGGGACATTATCGAACCAAGTTTGGTAATAGTTAGATATATATTTCAAAAGCTAGATGACACCTGGAAATCAAAATTTTGCCAAAATTTAAGTCTTTGAATAGCTGATGTGACTTTGGCTTTTAACCTATTGACCATTAAAGTTTGTAAAGATAAACACCCCGGCTTGTTCATTGGTATTCAGTCGATAGTTTTCGCATTGTCTGTCCAACCACGTCTTCTTCTCAGTCGGGAATCTACGAAGTCGAACTAGGTTTAAATATCATGGGCCATTATATAACCAAGTTGGACGCCTGGTTCAAAAATAACATCAAGAAACCAAACTATTGACTGAATTTAAGTCCATTAATAACAGCTGTGACCTTGACCTTTCAGCTTATGACACAAAAATCAATAACGGTCATCCTCTTTTCACTGGGCAACTGCATGCCAACTTTTGTAAAGCTATTTTCGGTGGTTCAAAGATTTCGTCCGGAAATCGATATGTTGACGGCAGACATCCGGACAGCATTCATCATAAGCCGAGATCGACTTCGTGGATGCCCGGCCGATAAGGATATGTTGTATGACAACAAATGAGCAACTATCCAGTAAAGCCCAAGGGACACGGATATTTAATTTTACGTACTTTAGATTACGGCACGTATCTTCAACAATGGGCAAAACGTAGACATTCCAATAAAAAAAAATGTATTCTACTTTTTTATCGATGTGCGTTTCACGTTTTGATGTAAATTTTGAGAGTTTTCCTATGCTGCTCGCAAAGAAAAGCATCTTCTGGATAAATGGTATATCATGTTTAAAAATTCATTTAAGTTTTATTAAGACATATTGAGGCGGGTTGAGGCGATGAAAATTAGATGTGCTATTCTCGTCCGTTTTAGTTGTTTAAAGTGATATTCGTCAGACAAAGCGGAATAACTCAGATGTATTTTTTTTAAACGCCGTATGTGTTTTACTACTATATATGGCGGCTGTTCTCGTTGTTACAGGGAAATAATGAAACCAAAAAAATAATAAAATTTGGATGCTTTCATGATATTCAAAATCTGTATAAAGAAACAGAATGATAAAAAAATAATCACTATGTATTTTTGATGCAGAATGCTGTTTATTAATACCATTTAGCTATTTCTTTTTGGACGTTTGAAAATTTCGTTGGAATGCCCACAAAATTAATACATTTTGCAACGTACCAATTAAGATACAGCCAGTTATTTCTTTATTGTTTTTGTTGTGGTTGCTTTCTTTTGAACGAGTAAGTTGCTGGTGTTTTGTGATTTATATGTATTCAATATGTGTAGTTATTTCTTTTTGTTTTTTTTTCAGTAAGATAGAAAATTAATTTACCCAGTATTGTTGGCAAGAATTCCGTCCTACGCGCTATCATTGTAGTACGTATTTACCGTCAAGGTATTGAGATATAAAAATATGTTTTCTTCTTGAATTGTCTCTTTTAATTCAGTATAAAAAATATTTATTATTTAATTAAAGTTGATATTTTTACAACTCACTGATTACAAGTGAACAGAATTTATATACGATGATCATACATTGTTACCTTGTAGCTTTACAATAAAATATAAAGGATTTCATTTACCCAGTATTGTTGGCAAGAATTCCGTCCTACGCGCTCTCATTTTAGTACGTATTTACCGTCAAGGTATTGAGATATAAAAATATTTTTTTCTTCTTGAAATTCATTTACCCAGTATTGTTGGCAAGAATTCCGTCCTATGCGCTCTCATTTTAGTACGTATTTTTCGTCAAGGTATTGAGATATAAAAATATTTTTTTCTTCTTGAAATTGTCTCCTTTAATTGAGTATAAAAAATCTTCATTGTTTAGTTAAAGTTGATATTTTTACACTTCACTGATTACAAGTGAACTGAATTTATATATGATGATCATACATTGTTACCTTGTAGCTTTACAATAAAATAAAAAGGATTAACATAGTTAGCACCCTTTATTTCATCGCGTTAAATATTCTTTAAGGATAAACAAATATGAGTAATTTTATAACTAACTGAACAATAAAAGTAATAGAATATTAAACAAGTAAAATGCAACTGAAAACAAAATAAAGTTGGTTCTTCATAACAAATATAATTGCAAAACATAAAATGTTGGAATACCGCAACTCAATGTGATTTATAATGCAATAAAGTGAATACTTTCTTATCTACATTGTACACATACCTAATGAAGGAAATCTGAAGGCATGGGTACCTATCCTTCCCAGACTCTGTGTGTGTGAATGAATGAACGGATGTTTGAGTGAGTGAGTGAATGAACGGATATTTGAGTGAGTAAATGTGTGGATATTTGAGTGAGTAAATGTGTAAATGAATGAGTGAATGGGTGAATGAATGAGTGAGTAAGTGTGTAAATGAATGAATGAGTGAGTAAGTGTGTAAATGAATGAATGAATGAGTGAGTGAGTGCATGAATGAAAGGACGTGTGACTGAGTGAGTGAGTGCACGAATGAAAGGACGTGTGACTGAGTGAGTAAGTGATGGAAACGTATGAGAGAGCAAGTGTCTGTGATTGATGGTGTTTTGGTGTAAGTATGTAGATGATGCAGCGTGTGAGATGGAGACTGGGTATATGTGAAAGACTTTATGGTGTGCGAGTGATTTTGTTACTGACTGCGAAGATGAGAAAGTGATTGCATGAGTAATGGGTGTGGATAAGAAAATGAGTGGGAAGATGGCGTGAATGGAAGAGAGAGTAATTGCGATTGAGCTAGACAGAATGTGAGAACGTAAATGAGAGAGTAAGAGATGGAGAATCAATGACCGACTATTAAAAAGTGATAGAGAGTGTGTGAGCGAAAATATAGTGAGAGAAAATGATGAGAGAGAGGTAGGTGGATAAATGAAAGAGACAGAATGAGCGTGTGGCGAGTAAGAAAATAAAGATATTAGATTTAAACTATGAATTGAAATATTGAAACATAACTTGCCAAGCCTAAGATGTGATAGCTTGTAATACATTTTTGATCACTTCTTAGTTACTTCCAAAGCCAAACTTCAAAATGAAACATACATGCAATGTAATAATATCCGAAATGTATGCCTTGGTGGATGACCTTTATCATTGTTCCGTGTAGTTTGCCAAGCATTTTGTCGGTAAACCATCGCGTGGTTGCTATGAAATGTTTCACACAACTTCCTTCTTAAGACAGAGAACACTATGGACTGAGATAGTCCTGCCTCCTCCAACCGACTTCGTAAGAGAGTGAACACTTTGAGGGGAGATATTCCTGCCTCTTCCAACCTACTTCGTGAGAGAGTTACACTATGGACTGAGATATTCATTCCTAAACCAACCACCTTTGTGAGATATTCCTGTCTCATCCAAGAAACAGTGTACATTATGGACACAGATGTTCCTGCCTCTTCCAACCCACTTCGTGAGAGAGAGTGTACACTATGGATTGAGATATTCCTGCCTCCTTCAACCTACTTCGTGAGACAGTGTACAGTATGGACTAAGATATTCCTGCCTCATCCAACCTACTTCGTGAGAGAGTGTACATGATGGACTGAGATATTCTTGCCTCCTCCAACCTTCTTGGTGAGAGAGTGAACACTATGGACGGAGATATTCCTGCCATCTCCAACCTACTTCGTGAGAGTGTGTACACTACTGATAGAGATAGTCCTGTTTCCTCCAACCTACTTCGTGAGGCAGTGTACACTATGGGCATATATTCCTGCCTCCTCCAACCTACTTGGTGAGAGACTGTACACTATGGATTGAGATATTCCTGCCTCCTCCAACCTACTTCGTGAGACAGTGTACATTATGGACTGAGATATTCCAGTCTCATCTAACCTCCTAAGTGAGACAGTGTACACTATGGAAAGCGATATTCCTACCTCATCCAACCTCTGTCGTGAACCAGTGTAAACGGACCCGGACCTTTTCCTGCGATATCTGAACGATAACGGTCAAGAAAAGCAATGAAATGTGCAAAATTGAAGATTTGGGTATACGTCAAGGGTAAAATTTCCCGTTATCTTCAACTCGAAAAATTTACATCAAGGACGGAAAATCTCAACACCATTTCCATTTCTAATCCCCAACCCGAAAAAATCACCCCCAGTACTCACGGTCTTGCACTTGTTTCGGTGTTAGATTCTTAATAACAAGCTTCAATAGACCGTCTCATTTGTCTTAAAGCGTCGATCTTTGTCTATTTTTAGTATGACTCTCATTTCTATAAATTCATCCTTCCATATTATTCTGCGTTCCAGGTGGTCTGTCCATACTGGAACCAATATATAAAAGGACTTGTGCATTAGTACCAGGTTAATTTGAAGTAATGTTTTCTGATGGTATTTCCTACCATTCTGATTACATGAATCGTAGTCTTGCCATATGCTTTGGAATAAACTTTTTAACATGGTTGTGTACACTCATTATAACTATTTGGTCTATATATGGTACTTTCTGTTTTTCATGCAACATTTTCCTTGTTCAAAAGGAGATTGCTTTAAAGAAAAAGCAATGAGTCATATCTAAACGTATATGAGTTTTTTTTATAAATTTCTCAGATAAACAATAATGAAATAAAAACTTCTACCAGAAATAGACGTTTATCACCCCCAGTTTTTGTTGGGGTTCGAGTTGTTCAACCTTTAGTTTCTATGTTGTGTTTTGTATACTGTTGTCTATTGGTCATTTGTCTTTTTTTTTTTTGTCAAAGCGTTGTCTATTTTTCACCCACTTATAAGTTTGAATATCCCTTTGGTTTCTTCCGCCTCTCTTTGAGTATGTTTCCGTTACCGTATACTTTACAATTAATGTCCATAGTTTTCCGTTGTTAAAAGAAGTACAGACCTCATATACCAAAATATAGTGACTAGCAATTTTTTTTATATTATGATTTCAAAATACTTTTAAAAATCGTATCATTTTAACAGTTGATATCTTGTTCTGTTACTATTTTATACATGGACATGTTTCTGAACTTTTTAAATATGGAAATTAACAATGTATACACTTCCGTTGTTAATAGTCATGTCTTAACATTCACCAGGGGCGTTGGAACCGGGAGTGGGTGTGGGCACGGGGTCCCGACTTCTTGGCAAAAATATATTTAAAAAAAAAGAAAATGATAGATGAAACTGACTAACTACTAGACTAATAGGCTATAGATGGTTTTGTTTACTTGTCACTTTCAGAAGTTTGCCCCCTCAACTTTTCAATCCACTCTTACGCCATTATTTGTGATACTTAGCTCATATCTGTTAAATATTACGTTAATTATCAATAAGTATATAAATAATCTAAAGTCAATGAACATCACAAAGTCCAGTATTGTAATTTTGAAATGTAGATAAAATATATCTACACGCAGCAATGAAGATGAATATTTTAAAAGTCATCTTGTCGATCTATTTTTCAGGTAAGTCATTTAAAATGTAATTCAGTTTGGGTTGTGAGGACTTCATTCATTGTTTATTGATTGTCATTTTTCTTTTTCCAAAAACCAGTTTTGTACATATTCTTTAAAAGGTTCCTCGGACATTTAAAACATAAAATATATTCAAATTTGCCTGCCGTATAGAATTAGAAGACTGGAATAATTGCCAATGAGACAACTTTCTACCAGTGACCAAATGACGTTGAAGTTAGCAATTATAGGTCACTCTACGGCCTTCGACAATGAACAAACCCCATACTACATAGCAATCTATAAAAGGCTCCGAAATGATGAATGTAAAACAATTAAAACGAGAAAACTATCAGCCCGATCAATTTACAAAACAATAAACGAAAAGCAAATATGATATACAGAAACAAACTACAACCATTGAATTACAGGCTCTCGACTTGGGATAGGCACATACAGAATGTGGTTAAACATGTTTGCGGGAGTCCATCCCCCTAACCTGGCACAGTGGTTTAACAGCACACCATAAGAACAAACAAAAACAAAATTAGTTTAAAAAGGCTTGAATCATCATAACTGGTTTTTTTTTTATCTAACAGTCTAACTGATTTTACACATCTGACAAACAGATTTTTACTAATAGATATTAGCACGCTACAAAGACAATGCATGCAATGTTGTATGGTATTGACAAGGGGAAAAAGAGTTGCATTTGTTAAAACCTCATTAAAAGTGCCATTATAAAAAGTCCTAATGATGTCATGATTTAGGTGCAGTTTCAAATATTTTATTGATAAATCAAATTGGTGGAAAACAGGCATAGTTTTTTTTATATAGATTAGACCGATGGTTTTCCTGTTTGAATGGTTTTACACTAGTCATTTTTCGGTCCCTTTTATAGCTTGCTGTTCGGTGTGAGCCAAGGCTCCGTGTTGAAGGCCGTACTTTGACCTATAATGTTTTACTTTTACAAATTGTGACTTGGATGGAGAGTTGTCTCATTGGCACTCATACCACATCTTCTATCTATGAAGTACCTATATGTACCCCCTCCAATAAAAAGATGAACGAGACACAGATAAAAATTAAAGAACATGTATCAACTCATATGTTTGTAGTACGTGTCATAGATAATGATTGTCTATATGATCCAGTCTACCTAAAATGAATCCAGGAACTTTATATATACTAGATATTTATACTATCTATATAAATACTAAATAAATTCAACTGAACCGGATACATTGTAGGCGGGGTGTAACCATTACATTTAAGCACATGGTCAGCAACAAATATCACACATTATACCATTTGACAGTCTGTCTTATTAGATATACAATTCAAAGATTCTAGATGCCTATGTTTCTTTCATTAATAACAATAGTATTCATTCAGGTAAAGGCAATATATACAAATACATAATAAGTTTTAGAAACTTAGCTAAATACAACCTTAAAATATAGCAACGGTTGTGACTTTAAACAACTTAGATTTTTTTTCATATGGGGTCCTTATAGTCTTGATAATGAAATAATTTATAATTCAATTTTACAGCAATATATAGTATCTAGGAACCACAGCTTAAAAACATTCGTATAAAAAGCAATCTAATAAAATATGAAATCTGCATCTGACATTGATCTGAGTTTACTCATTAGGTGTTTTGTTTACTTCAAACTTAAATTTAATTTTTGAATTCACATGAATACCTTTTACATGATCTGGCAAAGCATTCCAGTTCTTACTGCGACTTAAAAATAAAGAAGAAGATTCTACACATTTGACATTTGGAACATAAAAACTGTAAGCAGTGTTCTAGTATTCCTATTCGAGGAAGTTCTTGAAAAACCATTTTTTAAATATTCTGGACATTTGTCGTGAAAAACATTGAAAACATGATTCAGACGAAGTTGTTTCACTCTGTTACAAACATTCGATAATCCCAATTTTTCAAATTCATTTACATTTATTCGTTTTCTCTGAGGAAGATGTAGTATAAGCCTTATAACTTTATTTTTTATTAACCTGAAGCTTGTTTGTAAGTTTCTTGGATAAACCTTCATACCAACAAGCACATGCGTAATCAAGATGGCATTGTATTAATGTAGTACACAATTTTTTTTTTCTAGATTGTTGATACAAACATTCTTTAATATATCTATATGAAATTTAAGCCGCTGATTGGCCTTCTTTATTATATTATCAACAACCTGTTCACCAGATTAAAATTTGTCCAACATGATACCTAAATATTTCACGTTTGATTTACTCTCAATTTCAATAGTATATCATTCAACAGAAAAATCACTTTCATTAACATTTTGAAGTTTTCTTTTTGGTCCTAATAAAATACTCCCAGTCTTTCATAAATGTAGAACCAATTTATTATCAACAAGCCAATCTTTAAATGATTTTAACGTAAGTGATAGCTTTCTAGAAATGATTTTTGGATCTGAATGTGAAAAAATTTCATACAATGATTACAATAATTTTTTTATGACAATAAAATAATACAATACAACATTATAGAGCAACGAATAGTCAGTGCATGTACATTAGAGAGAAAACTTAATAGGGGAGACAATCAAGTAATATGTAAGGATTATTTCCCTTTGAACAATATCTAATATACTTTCAAAATAATAAAGTTAAGCATTATAATGTGATAAAATATTTGCTTTTTATGTTTGGGCTTTATATCTCTTCTACGTTTTTTTTAGGGATTATTACAGTTACTGATTCTTCATCATATGGTCCAACTATAGCTGACGTTGATATATCAAATGACACTTCCACTCAGTCAACCCAAGTTGCAACACATGGAATAACAGTGTCATCTTATGGCGCATCTTCCGATTCATCCGAAGGTACCACACAAGGAAACTCAACCAATATACCTTACATAACTGATACGACAGAAAATCCGAACCACTCGTCTATTACAACAGCCGTTAGGACGTCAGGTGCTCCCAAAACATCAAATCCGTCGGCTGTTCCAGAAACGTCGAATCCGTCAACTGTTCCAGATAAAACAACAATTACTGTACCATCTACATCGAGTAATCCAACAACGACACATGGTCATTCGTCGGGCGATGGTTCTGGATTTAATGGGTTATCCTTTGGAATCGGTATTCTGGCTGGTGTTATAGCAACATTTTTGTCGATACTTCTTGTTTTTCTTTATCGTCGTCGGCATCCATATGAAACTTTATCAAATTTAGACTCAACAGCTTCAATAAACTTTCTGAAAGATTGAAATTGTAAAATAGATCTGGGATGTATTATTAGATTTTTTATTTCGATACAAAATTCAATATAAAAACGGACTGTCTTCTCTTTTTTTCTAATTGCTAGCTTGTACCTTTTATATCATACTTTACCTTAAGTTTTTTCTCATTGTTGAAGGCTGTATGGTTTCCTATAACTTCTGACATCAACTTCGTTTGAACTTTGGTGCATAGTTGTTTTATTGGCAATCATACCACATCTCCTTATTTTTATTCATAATTATTATATTAACAACATACAAAGGTTCTTTAAAACATTAAAAAATACATATAAGAACAGATGAATGAAGTGAATACTAATTAATAGACATAGGTTGATAGTCGAAATTTAAATTCGTTTATGTAAAGCATGAATGCATGTACAAAATGAAAGTGATTAATGAGGGTCTGGTGTGTGTCTTTTACAGAATAGAGGATAAACGGAACGAAATAGAAAATAATGGGCATGTTTAACCCCGCCACATTCTTTATGTGCCTGTCCCAAGTCAGGAGCCTGTAGTTCAGTGTGGTTGTCGTTGGTTCATGTCTGTCATATTTGTTTTTCGTAAACTGTTTTGTTATAAATTAGGCCGTTTGTTTTCTCAATTGAATTGTTTCATATTTTTCATGTCGAGGCCTTTTATAGCCGACCATACGGTATAGGTTCTTCTCATTGTTGAAGGTCGTACTGTTGCCTATAATTGCTTACATCCACTTCATTTGATCTTTGGTGTATAGTTGTCTCATCGGCAATCATACCACATCTCCTTATTTTTATATAAAAAAACAAGATATGAGAAAAACGGGGTGCTATGATATAAAGAATGGTGGATAATGGACCAAAACAATAACGAATAGAGAAAAATTGCCTAAAATTAAAGAAAAGAAGACCTCCCCTCCCCCCACCCCCATTCAGACCCTCGGTTATCAGGTTTACAATCATAATAAGACATAAAACACAATGCATGGTTGAAAGACAAAAATTTAAAAAGTCAACAAAACGCTATACAGACAACTTAATATTTAGCAATAAACACAGCTTTAATAAGCATTTTTATTTTGTAGGATTTTAATTAAAAGGTGGATGTTTGGTTGAGAGGGCGTGTTATATGTTTTAAGTGATACCTTAGTTTTAGATATAAAAAAAAAACAAAACAAAGAACAAAAATAAAAAACGATGTTTAGACGGATTTTTTTGAAAACTTGTTTATTAATGTTACAAAAGATTAAATATTTGAAGCCCATTTAAAATGGAAACTATTTTTTTTTCTGAAACAAAACGAATAAGTTAAAGAATACTTTTTACATAACTTAACCTGTATTTCTTGTCTCGGCTTGACGGAGTCAAAAAGCGAGATATATGTATGCTGTTTTCGGCGTCGTCGTTGTCAACAATGTATCAGTTTGTTTTTAGGTCAGTTTAAGAGGAACCGTTTGTGGTAGGACAATACTAATTGTATTGCAGTTGTATAAGCATCAGCACATTTCATTTCAATGGAGAATATTTGGTCCTTACCCTCAGTCATGGTCTATTGTCTTATAGGGAGAGACATATCTCTGTGTTTACAGTTTATTTCTAATTATTAACTCTTATTGTTCTATAGATCCTGCCAATACATTTATTTTGGCATTGTGCATGGACATCCTTTTTTCAGACTGCTTATGACTCTTTACCATTATTCCGTTGGAGGTATGCTTATTCATGGGAAGCCTGGTCTGTTTGATAGTTGATATTGTGATTTGAACTAGCTTTTAGTAAATGATAGTGCTCTTAGATAAGTACTTTGTGTCTTTTGGCTTTTTGTTATTTATTTTTTCTTCTGGTGAGTGAAGCATTTTACAGTTTGTTCTAATGTTGTACTATCACACCACTTAAAAATACGCACAAAAATGTTTAACCCTACCATATTCTTTATGTGTCTGTCCCAATAACCAGCTAAGTGCTGTCGTTGGTTACCAATTGTCATAATTGTTTTTCTATCAAGACATGCAAAAGAGAGATAGAAAGTAAGTTAGACTCATCAGATCACTACTTAGCATGCAACAACAACAACAAACAAACCAAAACAATGGTGTATCGTTGTCACATTGGCAATATTAATCATATCGCATCTTTTTGTTTCTATATCGTATCAAAGTCAGAAATCATGAAAAGGTAATAAGCACCTAATCTATCAATTAAATCATTTGTTGGTTCCCATTCTAAATGCAAGAAAAGAGTCGATTTAAGGATACTCATTTTAGTATCAAAAATCAGTTTTGCAGTTAATGATTGCCATGTTTCAAGAGGTATGTGTTGGCTTGTTAATCTGACGGCAGCCAAATGGAACATCCATATGCAATAGGTGGTTGGATTATCAAATTCCACGCAGATAGCATCCGTAAAGGATGTAGTATGATTAAAAGATTCATGTCGCATTATTCTTCAATTAGGCTTGCGCTCGAAGTAATATTTTAATTAAATGGTAAGGTAAATAGTCCACTGAAATTATCAATAGCTCTTTTGTGTCGTCTCCTGTCTGAGATGGAGGTATCCAAAACTTAAACAGTTGATTATAACGATATCAGAGGTCTATATCTTAATTAGATTGAACTTTGTTATTTGCATAGTTACTATGTTGAGAACGATCTAGTCCAAGATTCAACTTTCCGCAGTACTTTGTGTTTTTTAATAACTGCGTGGAAGGCATACGTCATGCCAAAGTTGAGGTCCGACAGGACTATTCCTTCCAAACCTTCGAATTCCCTACGGCAGGCAATACGTTTGTCCAGCCCCTTTTACTTGCAGCAGCTAACTTCTTATGAATCAAAGTTTGGATGGGGTAGTCATGCCAGATGTTAAAAGTTTACATTGGCCTAAATAAATAACAACCGAACAACAGATAAAAATATAGGAGGTATTGTTAATAGCAGGTCAAATATAAATTAAAGTACTGAAGTACTGAACATCGGATGACCGCAAGTTCTTGTGGATTGTCAAAAGCACTTGTCACAGAAAAAAATCACAACTCTATACCTGAAACTGAGGTAAATGTACAGAGATATTTTTTTTCTGAGACAAGTTCGTGCGTGGATGATGAATAAATGACAGGAAATTCAACCTCACCGTAATAACTATTATATTGTAGTTGTTATATATTATATCAGTATAACAGTTACATATATATATAATTTTCATCCATTTGTATATCATTCTATTCTACTATTCTAATAATAGTGCAGTGCAAGTGCATGGTAGACACTCTTCTGTAAAAATTCGATTTTTTTAAAAGATTGGATATGACTAGGCATTCATATTTTCCCGCAAAAACAATCTTCCATGCAGGGTTACCGATCCTTGCCGGGATTGTCGCAAAATGTTCTTGAGATATTCTTCCGCATGCTTTACCATATCAACGATTTTTTACTTATATATATATATCTAACGACAAAACATTTTCATATTATTAATTTATGTTCTGAACAAAAATATTGTTATCAGTATTCATTGAAGAGATGTATTAATAACAAACGACAAGGAATGTTATTTTGCACTGGTTAATATCCGCGTATTTATCATGTTTATAGATCGGTTACAAACCCAAAACGAAAGTTACGTAATGGAAATCTAGGCGATAGCAATACATCGGAATGCCCTCACGGTCATCGCGATGTAAAAAGGTGTGCACCGAGGATTAATATTGGGCCCGTTACTTTTTAATCTTCTACTTTATTAAAAAGGGTAACTTATACAACTATGCTGACGACAACACTTTGTCTTTCAATTCTCCAAAATATGAGGAACTTGCTACAGTTATAAAATCTGAGAGCAATATTTTGATTGACTGGTTTCAATTGAATGTATGCAAGTAAATCCTGACTAATCCAAGGCTATTGCAGTTGATAAAAACTCAGCGGAAAAAATGTATTTCTTTTAAAATTGGAAATAATTATATGTCTTGTGGAGAAACAGTCAAGCTTTAAGTGTAGATATAGATTTGATGGTAAATTTTAATAACCATATTAAAACCATATGTGAAAAAAAGCAGTTCAGCAACTTAATATCTTGAAGAGAATTGGTAGAAATCTATGTAAACTAAGCAAACTTACTATTTTATACATTTATATTGTTAAACTTTAACTTTTGTCCCTTGTCTTGGCACTTTTGTGCTGTTGTCGACACAAAGAAAATAGAAAAAAAAATCAAGAAAGGGCATTACGATTTGTATATTGTGATTATGTCTCTACATATTACGAAGAGCTTTCAGTCAAGGCAAAAATACCTAGCCTACATCCAAGGAGGAAAAAACAATGGCACTGGCACCTTACAAAATTTCACATGATTTTATCAGACTTAATTAATACACAAAGGTCATTATAAGTAATTTCAGATACTCTAATCTCTTATAGAATAGTAAAGCATGTTCCTGTGTTGCATGAAGATATTGACCACACCGTGTTTGTTATTTTTTTTTTAGTTTATTCAGCTTCTTGAGTTTAACTTATTTTAAGTGCTAATAGTTTTATAGTTGCTAAACTATATACTTTTATGTTTGACTACTCCTTTTAATGTGACAAATGTGTATGTATAAACTATTGTATGTCTTGTGTTGTCCTATTGTGCCTGTACTCACTGTAATATAATAGGCATGTCTATAATATATTATGTTTGTCGTTTCAAAAGCTTTATGAGTAATTAATATCTATATTGTTATTGTGAAAATTTATTGCATTTAGTCTTTAATTCTTTGCTGAGAAGGAGTGTTATCAGACTCCAAATGACGTTCTATGTCGTTGCAAGTCTTCTGTTTTATGCATGATTAGTTTGGCGCGGTTCATCTTACTGTTTGCTAACTTGAGTATGGGCAAACGCTTGGTGTTTTAAATGTTGGCGTTCTTACGTTAATATTGTATCCAGGGGCGCATCCAGCCATTTTTAAAAGGAGGGGGTCCAACCAATGATAAAGGGTGTTCCAACCATATGTCTCCATTCAAAAACATTGATCGTAAAAAAAAGGGGGGGAGTTCCAACACCCGGAACCCCTCCCCCTGGATCCGCCACTGGTACCACGGAAAATTTAGTAACGCATCGGTCTATAGTTTATTAATCAAATAGTTTGATTATCGTTAAATTGTTATCTTTTAATAAATTGACAAGATTAAAATGCATAATCTTCTACGTAACAAATTATCTATCAGTAAAGTGAAAAATGAATGATTACGTAAATTTCGTTATCATCTTATATGACACATGACCGTGAGGACAGTAACAAAGTACAACACTTTTCACCATCCACCATGAATTGCAACTGTCAACTTTTATGTATTGTCATTTTAGGCGCCTGTATATCAATAGTTAATGGAGCTACAGTATCAACAGGTAAGCAGGTATCAAGTGGATTCAAGAGCGCAATTATTTGTAATGCATTGTTACATAGGGTACCACTGGTGTTCCATATTTTATTTCTTGAAGAATAAACAAACTAGAAAAAATGGGTTGCAGTTCATGTTACTAGAAATGTCAGTGTTGAATATCAGTCAAAATAAAAGTATATAGTGATGTTGTAAAAGTTGACCTTAAATGCAGTGGAAAAAACGTCTATTTTTTTCAGTTAATGAGGAAGGCAAATCTTTAATGGCTCATACGTAAAAAACGTTGAATATATTTTCTACACATTTTATAATACATGTGTATGAATTTAATTTTCTGTTGTTTTTTTTTAACCCATAATTCCAAACCTGTATCATCCAGTATCACCAAGAGTCGCACAAGGTTTTATTCTGAGTACCATCTGATAATCGCAAGAATCGAACCTCTGTAATTTAAAATTTCGAAGTATTCTGCTTCAACTTGAACAGCGTTCAATTTGTTGAACCTTCAAAATAAAAATAAGTAGATGTGGTATGATTGCCAAATGAAATAACTATCCCCCCACAGTCCATATCCATATGAAGTGTTTGTAAGCAACTACAGATCACCGTAGGCGTACGGCCTTTAACACTCGGAGCAAAACCCATACCATATAGTCCGCTTTTTAAATGTTATGTCGGGGCCTCTCAAATATTTATATGTTCAAAGAATTAAGCCAATACAAACAGATTCAAATATATGATAGGAGCATCTCTATACCGTGTTCTCGAAAACTCATGGTCCAGTCAATCCTGACCACCAAAATACAGGTAACCAATTCCAAGTGCAGTGGTGGTCCTGATGTCCGACTAAAAGTTTGTGATGGTTTTATTCTTTTTTAAGCTTGCTGGTACATAGTATAGCTTCTTAGTACGATGTATATCAATACTTGATATGGAACCATATAATTATTATTCAAATTGGCCTTATTTAATTTAAACCTGTGGAATTAATTGATAGAAAATTGTTACTGCAAATACTGAACTACAAAATTTTCACTGGAACCATTAGATTTGTAGTCTTTATGACCACCGGGCTAAAAAAGATTTCGAGAACACTGTTTTAATTGGTATCTTATTATACTCCCTTTTAGTAGAAGGGCTATTGAAGTAATCTCGGCGTCGACATCTCAATAATTTAGTAACAAACACTATAATGCTACATGATTGAGAAGCTGTTTTTATGAGAATGTTAAATTATTGAAGAAACTGTTAAACACTCCCTTACCGATTTTTCTGGTCAATTTATTCAAAAAAATATAGGCCGGAAAAATCAGATTTTAATAAAATTGAGATTGGAAATGGGGAATGTGTCAAAGAGACAACAACCCGACCATAGATCAGACAACAGCCGAAAGCCACCAATGGGTCTTCAATGCAGCGAGAAACTCCCGCACCCGGAGGCGTCCTTCAGCTGGCCCCTTAACAAATATGTATACTAGTTCAGTGATAATGGACACCATACTAAACTCCAAATTATACACAAGAAACTAAAATTAAAAATGATACAAGACTAACAAAAGCCAGAGGCTCCTGACTTGGGACAGGCGCAAAAATGCGGCGGGGTTAAACATGTTTTTTGAGATCTCAACCCTCCCCCTATACCTCTAGCCAATGTAGAAAAAACAAACGTACAACAGTACGCACAGTAAAACTCAGTTCAAGAGAAGTCCGAGTCCGATGTCAGAATAGGAAACAAAAGAAAATAAACAAAATGACAATAATACATAAATAACAACAGACTACTAGCAGTTACTGACATGCCAGCTCCAGACCTCAATTAAACTGATTGAAAGATTATGTCTTCATCATATGAATATCAGGCACAATCCCTCCTGTTAGGGGTTTAGTATTATACCGTCATATAATATATGAGAAAAACATAACCCGTGTCATGCCAACAACTGGTTTTAGAATAAATATGTTTAATTCCGATGCAAAGACCCTATAAGTGAATCAATATTAAAGCCAAAATATGCAATCTTTAATGACCTGACAACAGTATCGTAACTATATCCCTTCTTAGTAAGTCTGTTTAAAGGTTTTGTTAGCTTTTGAGGTGAATACTGACATTTTTGTCCTTTGTAAATGTATCAATCATACCTTATTTTTAGATTTACCTTGATTTTTTCAGCTGCTGTCTCTGTTACTAGTGGCAATGATACATCTATCGTACCAATAGAAACGACATCAAACCCTGTTACCATGACAACAGGAGCAGGGACAACATTAAATGCTCAGACAACACAACCACCAAAAACCGGGGATACTACACAGCCATCAAAGCCCACGGAAACTACACAACCTTCCACAAAACCCGCTGCCTCTACAGGAACAACACCAAAGAAACCAACCACAACCATAAAACCAGGACGGAAATTTGACGGTCCATCTTTTGGTGGCGGTTTTGGTTTAGCTGCTGGCTTAGTAATAATATTTGGAATTGGATACTGCTGTTATACAAGACGAAAAACAAGTGGTGGATATAGCCAGTATTAATAATTTAGTGAATGCAATAAGAATGCAATGTTTATTCAACCATATTTTCTGGTTAATATGTGAACATTTAATGTTTTGGAGTTTTGCCATCCAAATTGAGCATCTATAGAACACGGCAGTTAAAAAAGGATCTCATTTCGTCCATTGTTATTCTTGTTTTGCCATATATACTTGGCACCATGAATTCGGTATCAATGGTGCATTTTTATTAATTAAATGTTTTACGTTATTGATTTATGTACAATTACATTTAGTGCATCAGCGAAGCCAAAAAGGGGATTGAAAAGTTTCAGTGCAATAGTGTTATAAAATGTGAAAACTTCCTGACAAATACGCTACAAAACTTACCAAAATAAGTCACCAAGCATGTTTTACGCCCAACCATCCACATCTTTGAAAAATATGCTGTTTTCACTTTGTATGATTTTAAAAGTGTTTTTTTTAGAATTTTGAACGGAGATGACTATCTTATTCGTTTGTTTCTTATGGGGTGATGTCTTTCTTTTTTCTCCGTTTTTTAGAGAGAAAAAAAGCAGTATGTATGCCTTTTGATTACTTTTGTGGATTGGTTGCTATTCAGTTGAGGTTCCTGTGCACATCCCTTTTTATTCATACAATTTTTCGATATGTTGCTTAAATTTCAAATTGTTTGCTGCTCTTAATTTAGTTCCCTCTTCATGCAAAGCGCAATTCAGATATATGACATATATACATGTACATGTAGGGCATATCTCATTTTTCAATCTCCAGTTGCTTCACTGTTCCACTGTAATTTAGTCTCAATTTGCAGGTAAAGGGATATGGTCGCTTTCCCCTGTATTTGTTTGAAATTGAAATAGTCTAAATAATCTACCTTAAATATAATTTAACAGTTGAAACATTATTTCGTTTTTCGCAAATCACAAAAAGGAATTTCCAACACACATAATATATATATATATGTATGATCAAGGATTTGTACAGTGAAATATCCGGAAGTCACGGACAAAATAGTATTAGAAATAACTTAAATTATGAGTCTGGTGAAGAGGAACCCTAGGGATCCGGTACTGGAAATCAACTCTAAGTAACTCTAAATATACAAATCCTTGATATGATCAATTAGAAGAGTAAAACTGCTAATTCTTCCGTTGCACCTACTGTCTATCTTTTCGACTATTTCTTTTGGTCTATTTCCTTCATTTGATGAATGACTTTTTGTGTAAAAAATTATTAAATTTGAATGCAAGAAACTGTATTTCTGGGCATGTCCTTAGTTAGAAACCTGGATCGTCAGTCGTTAATTTTCCCATGTTATATCTTAATAATTTTCGTTATTTTCATTTCTGTTGAGTGTTTCTGTTTCATTTATTCACAACTTTATAGTCTCGGGATGATTTATAACTTGACATATAATGTAGACACCTGTCTATTGTTGGAGAATATTTTCTATCCTCAAGATGCGTTTTGGTTATTTTTGTCTTTGGGCGGTTTCTGTCTCATTTACATGACCCCCGGGCCTTACATGTACGTATACCCCATACCTCTTTTTACTGATTCTCTTTGGGAATTCCGTACTTTACCGTGATGGTTTACACTTGTCCGGAAATCGTGATTTAATGATTATCTATTTCTTTAGATCCGGGAAAGAATGTTTTATTTTTTTGGGGAATTTAGGATTCAACGTTTGTTATCCAGGAATTCGGGATGAGATGCCGGATGACCCCCACCCCCCTTGTTTACCGATTTTTTTATAATTTATCATTGACCTATACCTAGATAAGATATAAGCTACTTCTACTGTAATATCGCATTGCATGGATAAAAGCAAGAAAACATAAAAATGATATTTACAGACATTTAAACTAAAAAAATAGAAAAAAATAAACAGTAGAGGAAGTTCCATCACTTAGTTCCATGAGTCTTCAATTCTTCAGTCCATGATGCCCAAAGCCCCGGTGCTAATTAAGATATAAACTAAATGGATATTTACAGAATCAAAAACACTGTATCTCATTCTACCTAAAATGGTCTCAAATGGTCGGTCTATCGATGATAAAAATTCGACAACGAAAGTAATAGAAAATCGCTCTTAGATTTCCCGCGCAAAAACTAATGTTATTGAACATAATCTGGTACCTCGTCTTATCTCGTGAAGAGATTAAACCAGGCTAGACCAAAACATCCGAGATCTTCCGAACAAAAATTTACGTCAGCGGAAACTAAATCGAAAGTTGAAAAGTCGCACTACAATCGCAGAAGTTCCTGTCGTCAGAAGTTTATGACAAGTGTAAAGATGTCGATCCCTAATTTTGTCAGTGTTATATTGATATTCTGTTTCACACTGTCGACCTTTCCTACCATTAATGGAGAACGTAAGTGACCTACAAAACTCAATTAAAAACAAGTGACACATGTGTGCTGGTGTGTGACAATAAAATTTGTTGTCACCTGATGATGCATGGTCATCAGAAATTATTTATGTATTACAACCTTGAACCACACTTCTTTTCAAGCTATGAGTAATTCTGCAAATGATCAGTACAGACAAGTTCCATATTAAATTGGCTAGAGAACATAACAGACATAACTCTTTCACTAGTTTCAGGCCTTGTGGATATTTTTTGATATAATTCACAAATTAAAAATTAGCACTAAACGATGTGAAGTTTTTTTTATTAACTAATATCCAGTATATATATCTTGATTTTATCCAAGCAACACACAATGACATGGGAAACCCATAGTCCATCTCCATTTGTGTATCATGAATTTTGCTTTATATATATATATATATTTATATACAAGTCTAAATTGAAAACAACGTTCAAACCTATGATTGCGTTGGATAAAAACCGCAATTTTTATAAATGTGCATTCAAAACAAATTTCTATTTAGAGGGGTCTAATTACAGCACAAACAACATTTTCCAAAAGACCAAAAAAGTGAAAAAGTTATTTATTAACAAAACGTATTTGACTAGCAGGTCAAACAAAGGATGTTCTTAAACCCTGCTGACTGCCATTGGCGATTGCCAAATGAACGGATCACCAGATGTAACAAAATGAATCTTAACTATTAATTTAACACCAAACAGAAAACAATAAACTTGCGGAAAAGATGGTATACCGCAACCAAAGGTGCAAAAATTAGTACACCATATCCGGATTTCGACAATTAATGTCTCTTCAGTGATGTTAGGAATCGAAACGGTATTTGGAAGGCCATTTAATTAACCTGAATTTAGGATAGACTCTTGAATTTTGAAGAGTCGAAATAGGATGAACGGATCATATAAACCCAAAGGCAAATATAATACAAGCCCAAACGAAAAAATATAAACAAGTCTAAATTGAAAACAACGTTCAAACCTATGATTGTGTTGGATAAAAACCGCAATTTTTATACGTGTGCATTCAAAACAAATTTCTTGGTAGAGGGGTCTAAATACAGCACAAACATTTTCCAAAAGACCAAAAAAGTGAAAAAGTATATTTTAACAAAACACATTTGACTTAAGCAGGTCGAACAACGTATTTATATATATATATATTTCAACATGTCAGGGAAGATAGAACTGATTTAATTTTATGCAATGCAGAGCTACAACATGTACAACGAGGAGTAAATGTATAAACCTTAGTACACAATCATGTAAAACATTATACTCATGGATTCAATTTTTATTTGAAATTTAAACAAAGTAACGGGCCAAATAAATACAGAAGTTGAGGAAAGTTGGACAATTCCATTTACACATGTACCAAAAGCAAAATAGTCCAATGTACTGAAAGCTGAAACCACACTTAAAACAATGTTTCCCTACTTTTCGAATGGAGGGCAAGTACATTTTAGGTAAAAATCATTTTTTGTCAACAAATTATTACAATCACAAAGGACTAACTGATTTTTATACGACTGCAAAAAAATTTTGCGTTTGTTTATTGGTATCACGTTGTCGTCGACGTCCGAAGACAGTTTCCAGACAATAACTTTAGTTTAAATGAATGGATCTCTATGAAATTTAAACACAAGGTTTGAAACCACAAAAGGAAGATTGGGATTGATTTTGGGGGTTATGGTCCCAACAGTTTAGGAACAAGGGGCCCAAAAGGGGTCAAAATAAGTATTTTTCTAGTTTCCAGACAATAACTTGTGTGTTAGTGTATGGATCTTTCTGAAATTGTACCACAAGGTTCCATACCAAAAAAGGAAGGTTTGGATAAATTTTGGGGGTTATGGCCCAAACTGTTTAGGAATTAGGGGCCAAAAAGGGGCCAAAAACAATACTTTTCTAATACTTTGTATAAATTGCTTATTTCTTGACCAATTTCAATGGGGTTTTATTCTTGAATTCTTGGGGTTCTTTAATTTGCTGAATGCAACCGTGTATTAGGTTTTTGGAATTTGGGCCCAGTTTTTGAATTGGTCCACATGAGGTCCAAAGGGTCCAAAATTAAACTGTGTTTCATTTCATCATAAATTGAATTATTGAGGTTCTTTGATATCGGAATCTAACCGTGTATTTAGATTTTTAATTTTGGGTCCTGTTTTCAAATTGGTCTACCTTAAGGTCAAAAGGGTCCAAAATTAAACTTAGTTTGATTTTAACAAAAATTGAATTCTTGGGGTTCATTGATATGATAATGCTGAATCTAAACATGTATTTAGATTTTTGATTATCGGCCCAGTTTTCAAGTTGGTCCAAATTGGGGTCCAAAAATTAAACTTTGTTTGATTTCAACAAAAATTGAATATATGGGGTTCTTTGTTATGCCAAATCTAACCATGTATTTAGATTTTTGATTTTTGGGCCCCGTTATCAAATTGGTCCACATTGAGGTCAAAAGGGTCCAAAATTAAACTTTGTTTGATTTCATCGAAAATTGAATTCTTGGGATTCATTGATATGCTGAATCAATCCATGTATTTAGATTTTGGATATTGGACCATAATAGGTAAATTTAATTTTTTTTACTTCATTAGACCACATTCATTCTGTGTCAGAAACCTATGCTGTGTCAAATATTTAATCACCATCCAAATTCAGAGCTGTTTCAAGCTTGAATGTTGTGTCCATACTGGCCCCAACTGTTCAGAGTTCGACCTCTGCAGTCGTATCAAGCTGCGCCCTGCGGAGCATTTTATTGTAGTTTGTTCTTATGTTGTACTGTTACACCACTGTCCCAGGTTAGGGGTAGGGTATGGTGCCAGCAAACATATTTAATCACACAACATTTTTTATGTGCCTGT